TTACTCTGAGGTGTGGGAGGGTTCTATTATTAAATTTAAAACCTGGCTATATAAGATGAAGGCAGCTTTAACGAGATGAAAAGGCTTAACTGGAGTCCAATTAAATTCCGTATTACCTGTTTACGCAGCCTGCTTAAGTCCTGACCCGCACGCTGGTTTCTTCTTTAGGCTCCAAAGCCTGTGCTCTAGGCAAAAAAATAAAATCAAAGGAGACAGATAGATACCAGATCACCAGCATGGCCTGAGCACCCCCGCGTGCTCCTACCAGAGGCAGCTGCCCCCAAGCCTTGTGCTGCTCCCACAGTGGCTGCAAGGTGTGAGATGCAGCCAAAATCATCTGGTCCACTCTTCTGGAGAGGAGAGAGGGCAAAAACAGCTGGAGCTCAAAAAGGAAATACCCAGCCATCCTTAGTTTGGTTTTAGGTCTGTGCCGTGAAGATACTTTTGCTCTCCCCATACCACTGCTGGGTTGATGTGGGCAGTGTCTGGCCAAGCAGCCAGTGCTGGTGATGTTTCTCACAAATGGAGGATCCTCTCTTCTCCCTTGCACCACTCTTGGCATGTTATTTTTATTAAAAATAAGTGTTTGGTGAAAGCCAGCATGGGATGCTGGGGCAAGCTGCTTGCCTGGAGTGTGTGGTGGGGACACCAGCTTGCATTTAATGGCAGAGTTACTACCACCAGCTGGAACCTATTTTTCATAGATATTTCATAGTAACCACTGCTGGTGTTGGTGAAGCATGGCAGGTTTGAGTGGGTGGTGAGCTGGGGCTTGGCTGTCATGATGGTGACACTGAGAGCCTTGCAGGAAGGGGTGAAGTGCCTTAGCCCACCTCCAGGCTGCTCTTCAAGGTCCACAGATTGGGGGGGATGAGGAGGAAGAATCCCTTGTAGCAGCCCCGTGTGTGGGCAACACATCAAAAAATCTCCTTGGCTTCCCAAGCCCTCTCTTGTAGGGTGTTGCCTTTTATTAGCCAGTTTACCTGTGAGCTGGGAGCAAACACGCTCTGGCGGTGAGGGTAATTTCACCCCACCTGCTCTGGTTTCTAAATTGAGCCCCCAAACCCCAGCGGGCCCTCGGCGGTGCCTCCCGGCCGCGCTGGGGCCGAGCGCGCAGGGCGGGGGGCAGGAAACGGCTCGCCGCACCCTGCTTGCTGCAAACCCTCCCGCCCAGCACAGACCTCAGCCCTGCTGTAAAGAAAGTAAATAAATAAAAGCACTGGACCGCAGCTCCTCCCAGGGCTGGGGGACAGCGGAGGTGAGCTGTGTTCCCGGCTCAGCCGGCCTGGGAAAGCAGATTGGGGTGACACCAAAGTGCTGGTGGGGATGCGCCAGGGGCTGTGGGGCAGCCGCGCCGCTGCTTCTTCCCTGCTGCTCTTCAGCTCAGTTAATACAGCTGAATAACCTGGTTTCTCCTGAAGGATTAGGTTAAGAAAACAAGATGGTTTTAATAGCCCTTTTACATCCTGCATAGATTTGTAGCTGAAGACCCTAACCAGCTTTGTAGCACAGCCAGACAGCGCATCTTCTCCTTTTTTCCCTGTTTTCCCCTCCATAACCTGATGCCAGTGGTCCTGCGCAAGTGGGCTCCTATCGATAATTCAAGTGCCCAGCTCCTGTCCAGCTGTGCTGTTTTGTCCATTTTCCATTGCCTCCTGACCTCCATCCTTCTTGATTTGCAAAGCTATACTCGCAGGCAGCGGTAATAAATCAATTAATGACTCTGATGAATCGTTTAATGGCTGACAAAATAACACTACAGTCAACAGCTTGGATCTCTACAGCAGTACCAGAAGATGCTGGTTGACTCAGGGTAGGGAGACGAAACAGAGACTGTTAGCTCAATTAGTGCAATTAGTGTGCGATTTAAAGGCTTAGACGGCATCTGCTGGCGTACCAGGCCGGTGTGTTAACTGAGAGCTTCGCTTTGGAAGCGAAACGCGGTGATCCAGATTGTCATCATTCCACTGGCTTCCACCAAAAAAAAGAGGGAAAAATACCAACGTGTGTGGCAGGGAATTAAAAATACATATGTGTGTTTGTGTATATAGCTATGCATGTGCGCCCCAGGAACGCATATATATTGATTTCCAACGTGGGGAAAATTTGCCATCTTACAAAAGGCAAATGAGCTGGCGTGCCAGCATTGCCAGAGATGTCCTGGCTCATTTCTGGCGGTGGTTTCCATATGTTTCAGTGGAAGGAAATTTGGGGTGTCACACGCCAATGGAGACCTTTGTGTGGCTGATGTGCCTCCGGTGCAGCTCCAGCTTGGATGTGGTGGCACAGCAGTTCCATGCCCATTTTCTGCCAGCTCCATGGCAACTGCACATTGTCTGTACCTTCACCAGGGAGATTCGATGGGTTTTAGATGTTCACCCATGGAAAGAGCTTTGGAAAGCAAACTGCAACCAAGAGTCCCTAAAAAGAGTTTCTGGGACAAAATGTTGAAAATAAACCATGTGGGAGGAGCTGTGTGGCCAAAAAAGTCCTGGAAATGGGTGCTGGAAAGCCCTTGGGTTTGTGCGCTGACCCTTAGGGTTTGGGTGCTCACCCTTAAGGCTTGGAAAAGTTGTTCCTGCTGTCTTTTTTTGCCTTTTTTTCTTTCATTTCTGGCATGCCCAAGTGTTTTACAGAGCTGCTCCAGCCACAGCTGCGCTCCCATCGCTTCACCAGGGCTAAAGGTGCCTCAGTGTTTACCTTAGCAGCGGTGATGGGGAGGGGAAGAAAAAAAAAAGAAATAAAATGTCACTTCGCAGCCTTGTAAATCATTCATCAAGGGCTGACCAATTTGGCTCTCATCCTACAATATGCTCAGGGTACTTGCGGGTTTTTAATTACCAAGTTCTGCCAAGCGCCACATGTGTGAGGAACTTTAAATCCCCGTTTACGCTGCGAAGGCATAGGTGAGGTTTCAGGGTGTTTAACACGGAAAAATACTCTGTGGTTTTGTGGAAAAATGGGCATTTGCTTCAAGATTTTCTTTGGCTCCTCTGCCCTTCTCCCTCTGCTCCCTGTTGCAGAGGGGAGGAGAAGAGCAGAGGAGCCTTTCCCCCCAGATCCCCAAATCCATGTTCCTGCTCACTTCCCACCACTCTGGGATCCATTTCGCTTTGGGAGATTCCCTAAGCAAAGGATTATAGTGTGCTGGAAATCTCTTGAAACCATAAAATATCACCTTGGCAGCTTTATTGCAGCGCTTGCCGCCTTGGGAGAGAAGCGTTTTGCGTGATAGAGGGTTTAATAAAGGAAATTCCAAATGGGCTCGCTGCAGTTTGGGGCTCAGTCTTATATATTTTTGCATTAAGAACAGTCATCTGCTTTGCAGAGAAACTGCAATATGTTCATGGCCTTGGATTAAGATTTGGTTTTACTTTTATAGCTGACCCACTTGGGGGGATGGAGGGAGGGGGAGAAGTGGGTTCACTCCCTCTCCCATCTATTTTTGCTGCCGTCTGATGTATAAAAAGAGCCTGGAATGGGCAGGCTTATTTTTCCTGCCAGGACTTTTTTTTTTTTTTTTTTTATTAACTGTAAAAACACTCAGATCTGGCCTTTGCTGCTGATGGGGGGAAGGCTGTTCAGGATGCCTTGTTCAGGGGCAGGGGAGGGAGCGTGGCATGGGGTGTGCCTGGGGGTGCAGGACCCTGTAGCCTCAGGGGGAATTGGTTATTTCATGAAGGGAGGCTCTTACTGGGGAATCAGCCTCCACTGTTGTCTGTGACACTTGCAACTCTGAGATGCTGGGGTAGGAAAACCACCCCCTCATCCAGCGTGGTCCTGGCCTTCATCCCACATCCTGCATGCCAGCTCCTGCTGGAGAGCATGGTGAGGGGCACGAGGGATGCCCTGGGAAGGCACAAGGCAATGATTAGTCTGGTGCTCCCCTGCCTCTGCAAGGTTTTCTGGTCAGGAATAGCAGGATTGCTGACCAAACATGGGGATCCCATCTTGGCAATCCTTAGTAATAATCCTTAATTTTTCAGGCTGCCCTGACAGCCTGGCTTCCCCCTGTGCTCACATCTTGTGGTTGTTGCTGCATCGGATGCGGTCGGGAGCCGGGGCTGGCTCAGCTGCTGTTGGGACGTGGGGTTTGTTGGGTGAAACCAAGCCTGAGCAGGCTCACATGTACCCCATCTGCTCGTGGGATTTCCTCAGTGGAAAGTTTTCCCACTATGGTTTTAGGTGGGTACGTCCATCATAAAAATTGGTGAGGGGAGTAGTTCAGTGATCCAAATCCAATTAATGCCACTGGGGTGCCTTTATAACTGCCCTGTTACTGGAATGGGGTCACTTGGTGTTGGGCAAGCTGGGGTGCACTTGGATGGCACAGTACTGCTCCTTTCTGACAGGGATGTGTCACCAGCAGTGGCTTTTAGAGAAGATCTTTTTCTTATATTTTTCTTCAGAGTAGGAGCTTCCCATCACACTGGTGTTTCTCAGAAGTGAATAATAGGGATGCTGAGAGGAGTGAGTGGAGTGTCCAGGTACCCCATGTCTGTCCCTGTCCCTCCTTTTTGGGGCTGGTGGCTCATTCTAGGGAGGCACGAGGGAGAATGTGACTCCACAGGTTGAATGCAGTGAATTTGGAAATTAATAATAAAGCCTTGGCATGCTGGTGAGGTCAGGGAAGCATAATTTTCAAAGGACAGGGCTAAACCAGTGAGCATTGTGGGGAGGTGAGAGGAGAAGCTTTCAAAAGCTTTCAAACAGCTTCTGACTAAAATTACACGTTGGATGTGGCTCCTTGGTGGATTAACAAGACTCAGTGCCTGGGTAAATGAATAAACAAACCCCAGAATCATCTCCCAGGTTGTGTGTGGCCATCTCCTCGGTGGGTGAGTCACAGAGGCCGGTGTCCCTCCAGCTGCGAGCATCCTGCTCAGGGCTCCGGGGACACAAGGCAGATGGACTCAGTGGGATGTGGCAGGAGAGGTGGCATTTTTAACGTGCTTTTGTCATAACTCTGACCATGTTTGCCCTGGTTTTGTTCCCCGCAGAGCGCAGCTGCTGCCCCGAGTCCCGTGCTTGGAAACATTCCCCCGAATGACGGGATGCCCGGGGGCCCCATCCCGCCCGGGTTCTTCCAGGTAGGCTGTGGCTCCTCCCGCTGCTCCCTCCCCTCCAACCACGCACGTGTTTGCTTTTGCTCTGGGTGTCAGCGCTGTCCTGCCTGTGTTTTGTTGGATTTTTTTTCCCCCAAGAGGATGCTAAGGAAGCAGCATGCCTGCACAGCTGACCTGTCTAGGAATAACTTGTGTTCTGCTGTCCTTCCACGTTTGCTTTCTATCTTTTGTGGCCTTAAAGCAAATTCCTTTCTTGCTCGAAGAGGTTACTGTGTATTTACAACCAATGTTTTTTTTCCAAAGCTGCTTGGTTTGTGTTTGGGTTGGGATTGTATTTGTTCTCCAGTCCTAACAGACGTGTGTAATTGAAAACATTCTGGATTTTGATTCCTGAAACTTTTTCCCCCTCCTCTGGTTAACCACTTGATTTTTTCCAAATGCAATCACTGAATGCATTAACAAACCCTGGCTGCGGCTGCAGGCGGGAGTGGGCTCCAGCCAAATCCCTGAATGCCATGGAGGCACCTTGTAAGCAAATACCCAGCAAAGTCCCCAAAGTCCCCTCGCTCCTTCCTTATCCCAAAACAAGCTCTGACAGAGGAGGGAGTAACATGTTTGGAGTGGTGCTGACATACAGGGTATCAAGAAGCACAAAGAAAAGGAGTTTTCAAACCTTGAACCTTGAGGGTTTTTCCTCAGGAATCTCTTTGCCCGGAGTGAGCTGCACTGATTTGCAGCAACATAAGCTTTCGGTGCTTTAAAATCCTCCTGCTTGAGGATGAAACACTTGTTCGTGTAAAAAATGGGATAAGAGTTGAAAGGAATATTTGTTTTGGCAAGCTGGGCTTTTTTTAATCTGGGCTTGTGATTTGTATATGGGAGAACTTCTCGGGCAGTAGACAGGCGAGCTCGATAAGGAGCTTGTGATTTATTGTGGCGATATCTGAGCCCGATATCAGCGATTACATTTGTGTGGGAAGGGGGAAGGAGGGTCCTGTCTTTTTTTTTTTTTTTGAGAGAGAGAGAAAGAGAGATCCCATTTCCTGAACATGCTTCTGACAAAGTAAGAATATCCGATTTTGATGGGGAACCCTAAAACAGGCAAGCCTTGCAGCAGCGCTCGGGGCCGGGGGTGAAGCCAACGGCGGAGATGGAATCTCGCAGGTCAGAGCTGCTGCCAGCAATCCCAGTGCCAAGCTGCTGCTTCCAACAAATGTCTCTCCAAAACGTCCTGATCTCGCCCCGCGGTGAAGCTGACTGTCCTCTGGGGCTTCTGCTTCACGCCGAGCTGCGAGGGCTGCAAAACTGGCAGGAATTTAGGGCAAGGCATCGAGAGGATGGGTTGGCTTTCCCAGAGTGGGAATGGTGAGGGAGAGGAGTCACATCTCTCCAGACTTCTACTGTTCATGCTGCCGTCTCGATTCTTTCCTGTTGACAGCCTCCAAGCTGTGCCCCCTTCTTTCCTCTCTGCCCTCCTGTAGCACTTTTGCACTGAGGGTCTGATTCAGGAGCAACCAACCCATCTTGGCTCCCTGCCTCCCGTGCAGCTGGCCCAGGAGCCACTAGGGTAGGGGGTGGCTCAGAAGCAGGAGTGGATCCTGACACCCCAGACAATGTAATAACACCAGGACAGGTTATGCTGCCCATCCCCAGCACTGCCAGAGGGAAGAGAGGATGGGTGCTGGTGCATATGGCTCACATGTGACATCTCAAGAGCCTGCCTTTCCTGAAAGCCCTCCAACATCTGGTTTCTCCTCCCAGCCCTCGGGATGGAAAGCAGAAGAAAAATCCCACCTTTTAACACAGTCTGAACATCGCCTCCATGAAAGCCTGTCTGATTTATTGCGGGTGCTGGGGCTCATTCCAGCTTCAGGAGATGCTGGAGAGCAGCTCTTGCAGAGATGGGCTGGAGGCTCAGTGTCGAGCCAGTCACAGCTCGGGGGTAATTTCCTATCTGTAGGAGATTAAAGTGCCTGAATTCAGAGGGCAAAAACAAAAAGGTCACAGAAGATAGAAAGGACTTCTCCCCAACCCTTGGTGTGCCAGCCTTGGGAGTGAGTGAGGTGGTGCCACCTCAGCCAGTGCCATTCTCATGCCAGGAGATGGCTCAGGGGTTTTCAGCATCTTGCTCTTCTGCACCAGGGACCTGCAAGGGATATCCCCAAGGGCAGCAGGCATGGACAGATAGTTTTTGAAAGGATTTAGAGAGCCTGATCGTGTCCAGGCATGGTGGGGAGTCACCCAGGGAGCTGAGGAGTGAGTCACCAGCAAAGCTCAGGTAGCAGAAACTTTGCAATGCATGAACCCCCCCCCCAGGCCTGCATGTGAAGATGTCCACCACAGGCAAAGGGAAAAATTGATATGGACCTGGGACTCTGTAGCCCAAACACATGTGAGTGAGCTTGGAGGAGAAGGAGTGCTCCAGGCAAGGGAGAAGCAAGGAGGACTCCAGGCTGCAGCGCCCATCCACAGCCACTGCCTTGCAGTCAGATTCCCTTCCCAGTGCCAGGGCTCAGCAGTGCCCTTCAGGTCAGGGGCCAAGGGAAGTGCAGCCTGCAGAATCTCCCAAAATGATGGGAGAGGAGAGGCCCATGACACTCCTGAGTTGCTGGGGCATTTCATGGTGCCAGCCAACAGCACAGCATCGGCTGCGCTCCGGACAAAAGGTTGGCTGGGTGGACGGCCAGCATGGGTAGATGCTTTTATTTAAATCTCTCTCTTTGTCCCATTGAGATGAGCAAACAAACCCTCTGCTCATCCTCCTAAAGGTCATCAGAGGCGTTCCTGCTTTTGTTTTGAAAGCTGGATTGATGCCGGGGTGCAGATCCCTCGTAAGAGGGATGGGGGGATGCCAGGGAAATACAGGAAGGGAAACAAAAAATTGAAAGCAATTAATACCACACCTTTACACCACTAAACAACCGGGGGGAGGGCGAGTCAGCAGCCCCCCCAGGCATGCCTGCTGTCCCCAGGCAGAGTCCCCGTACCCCGCGCTGATGAAATGGAAAGTTGACCATAAATCAATGTCGGCGCTGCGTTAGCTATGCATCAGCGGCTCGGCGCCGAGATGCACCAAAACAAAGCACCGGCTGCTCCGTGTTCCCACACTGCCCCCTAATGCAGACAGACCTCGGGAGCTGGGGAGGACGGGGCCTCCAGAGCCGGGGGGCTCCCCCCACACATCCCCTGCCCTCCCCAGCTCTCCTCCCCACGCCCTGGAGACTTCCCCCCTTTGGGTGAGGTCGCCCGTGGGGTGAGGATGGTGAAGCCAGGGACAATAGGAAGGGGTCCATGTTGTCCTGCTCCCCCCTTGGATGCCACCATTTTCCCCCTGCTGTCCTGATGTCTCAGTGGGATTTCCCACTGCTTATCGGGTGCCACCAGCTCCAGCCAGCCACTTCCATAAAACCAGGCTGCTCTTCCAAAAATCCTGGGGTAGAACTTGGTACCAGCCTGCACCAGGCAGGGTTTGAAGGAACGTAGCCTACAAACTGGAGGAAAGGAAAAGCAAGCATCAGAGAAAGTTTTTTTTCTGGAAGTTTAGTAGGATGCCCGAGGCTTTTGTACTGAGCGTCTGGAGCATATGGTGGGATTTGCAGTCAACTTTCTCTCGGGTGCTCCAGCCAGATGGAGGTGACTGTTCTTGGCTCTGGCTGACACGGGTTTGTTTCCTGAAGAGCTTGTGTTAAACATATTCCTTAAAACCAGGCTTCTGCAGTTGGGAGCCCCAGCTGCAGGCGAGGCAGAGCTCCTGCCCACGGCTGCCTTTCTCTGTCTGCGGGGGGAACTTGGCCCGCCTCGCCTCACCTTGCCTTGCTGCCTTGCCTTGCCTTGCCTAACCTCGCCTTGCTTTGCCTTGCCTTGCTTTGCCTTGCCTTGCCTTGTCTAACCTCTCCTGGCCTCACTTGTCTCGGGAAGGTCCTCACCCAGCAGCACACGCTGGAAGTCAACCGGGGTCTTTCTCTTTGAAGGCAACTGGAGCATCTCTCCTAAAGGCTCCTTCAGAGATAGCTCTCTTTTTTTTCCTTGTCAACTTGCAAAACATCTCTCTCCTTCAGTAGAAATAAATCTCCTCTCCAATAAACCCAGGCATGGCTTTAATTAATATCCATCTAATTTATTTTAGTGTTTTCTAACGTCAAAACTGGCAGGCAGGGGCAGGTATTTTAAACACAAGATGCCTCCCTATTGCTAACTCAAAACCATCGGTGTCTCGTGGCAGTGATGCTTTGCCTTCTCGTACCATCCTGCCTTGTTCTGCCACCCCCAGAGGTGCTTGAAAATGTTTTTAAATAGCAAAACTCCCCCATTAGCTGAAAGTATGTAGCCCATAAAACATGATCCATTTGTGGTGAATTACGCTGGAAACATAAATTGACACACACAGAGCTATGATCGCTCGTGCCATTTTCCATCTTTAATATTTTACAAGAAGTTTGAGGAGTCGAGCTCATGAAAGACAGAGTGGAAATAACCTGATCTCCTGGAAACTCCCTGTAGGAAGGAGCTGTGGCAGCAAACTTCGGCTGTCCGGCGGGCCAGGTTGGGCTTTTAAAGTCCCTGGAGTGTAGAGGGGAGAAAGAAATGAAGCAGAGAGGAGGTTGGGGCACTGGCAGCTGTTGGAAACAGTTTCCTCTTAACACCATTTTAGCTGTTGGGTTTCTTTTTTGGGTGTTTTTGAGGCAGCTACAGGAAGATGAAGAATAACCCCACACAAAGAGTGTCCAGTTTTGGGGAAAAAAGGAAAAGCTTGAGAGATGATGGGGTTTCCAGTGCTGGTCTGGAGATGAGAGTGAAGCAGCTGCAGAGCAGGTCCTGCTCCCCCAGCATGGCGTGTCAGAAGGAGCTGTGCCGCAGGGATGCAACTCCAGGGCTGGATGGAGGGAGGTGGAGGAAGCAGGACAGCATGTGTTCAGCCTCCTCCTTTAACAGGAGTAGTTAATAACTGCTAAACACACGTTTTTTTAAGAAAAAGGGGATGTTCTGTTGGTTGGAGCCCACATGTCATCTCTGCAAAACACTTGTCCCAACCGCCGTGATCCATGGGGATCATCTGCTGCTCCCTCTGCAGCGAGGCAATCCCGTGCAAAAACCCAACCACTCCAGCAGGCGTTCCCAGCCCAGCACGGGTCCCAGCCCCGAAACATCTGCAAGTATTTATGGAGATAACAGTATGCAGAGGGACTGCCTTTCTGACAGAGCAGGGCAGCCCTGCCGAGGGGGCCGCGGCGGTCGCAGCTTGGAGCGAACATTTTGGATGCTGCCGCACAGAACAAGCAAGAAAAGAAGGAGAAATAAAAAAGCAGCTTTCAGCTCCTCCCTGCCTGCCAAAACGTTTGCACAAGCTGGGCGTCACCTTATCCAGAAGGGTCCTCTGGGAGCAATACCACATGGGATAAAGCAGGGGCAGGGATGCTGTGGCGCTGAGCCTGGAGCATCCCGGGAGCAGCCTTGGTGTTGGGGCGGGAGCTCGCTCCAGAGGATGCACTCAGCAGCACAAACAATGATGCTCTCTGGATCCAGCTGCCACAGGGGATTTTTCTCCGGTGGAAATGCTGCTGTGTCCCATAAATGCTTTTTCTCCAGTAGTCAAACAGTGTTTGCTCTCCAGCTTGAAATGCAGACCCCAAGCGTCACTTCAGGCCCAGCCAGGGTGCCTTCAGGTGGCTGTGTCCCCCGTGTGTTTGGTACCTGTTCACCCCACACCCTCACCTGCTGTGGGATACAGGGGGAAGGACATCAGTACCTGGACAGCAATGACCCCCTCCTGCAGCACAGGGCAGGCATCGTGGAGGACACTGGCTCTTGCATTGATGGGCTTGAGGTTTGGCCTCTGCCAGCCCTGGTTTTTACCTTCCACTTGGTTTCATCACTCATTCACCTCTTCTGATCTTCCCTACCCCAAATCCTGCAGCTGAGATGTGTAGGAAGGGCTTTGGGGGTGGCCAGACCTTACTGGGGGATGGTGGGAGGTGTCTGCTGCCCCTGCTGCACTTTGCATTCACAGACACAGTTAGCAGCTCAGAAGCAAAAATAAGTCAACTTCCATGCCTGGAGAGGACTTCTGCTAAAGGAGGTTGATGCTGCAGTTGGACCTCAGAGGTTTGTCTTCTCCTCTCTGGTGGGACACGGATGGAGAAGGCAGTGGGGAGGGCTGTCTTGAGGTGCTGTGACCTCATCCAGATGAGGTTGGCCAGGAACTAAGGGCAGGGGCTGGTTCCTTTTGGCACCTGGAAGATAAATGGTGGTGTAAGTGGTGGGATATCAGCGGCTGGAGCAGAGAAGCTGGCAGGAGGCTGTTGGTTTAAATCTGCTTGGCTCCATCTCACCACTGAACCATTCAAATAAAAAAAAATTAAAAAAAAAAAAAAAAAAAAAAGAAGAAAAAACCCACCCTCTTACTTTATTTACATTGCACTCAAGTTTCCGCTGTACAAAAGATTTGCAGGTGCAAATATGTCCTGCCTTCATTAACTTCCCCTCCCTTTTTAATTTATGTGATTTCAATTTTCCTTCCCTGTACTGTTAATTAGGGGACCCTCTAATCAGTACCATTATCACAGTGGTATTCATGTTTAGGAAAGCTGCTAAACAAATGCTTGCAAAATTGCTAAATGGCTAATTAATGTCTGTTAATTAAGAAAATTGCTCATGGTAACAAACCATGCCATTGCTGGCAGCAGCTAGAAGGCGAACACTTGTTGAAATTAGTAACGAGGCAGGTAGAGAACATCTGCTCCGGCGCCGGTCCTGGAGCCTGCCGTCGCTTCCCATCACCTACTGACAGAGCTCCTCTGCTTTCTCTACCAATTACACCTCCTTGGACTCAAAAAATACTTTTTTTTTCTTTTTTTTTTCTTCTTTTTTTTCTTTTTTTCCCCCCTTTTTCCTCACGTTAACACGCACCGGTATATTTCTTGCACCGAGCTCGCGGTTTTTCCAAGCAAATTTTCATTTTGTGCTTTTAAGGGAAATTAAAAAAAAAAAAAAATTTAAAGTGGGCGTTCAAGCCCAAAATGTCAGCGACTGCTGCATTGCAGTCTTAAACCTGCACCAACTAATCTCTCCTTTTTTCCCCTAGACATCCTTTCTTTGCTCGCAAGCCATTTCACTGGCATCCTTAGGGAATGCACCTCGAGGAAGGATGTTGCATCCCTTCAGCGTGGCGGTGCAGCCCCAGCTGTGCCACCCAAACGCTGCCCAGGCGTGAGCTGGGATGTGCTCCTCATCCTCTCTGCTCACTCCAGCACCTGCAATGAACCACGGTCAAAACACAAACCCGGAGGTGTTTCCAACCTTTGGGATGAGAGAGGAAAAAAATCATTTTTATTTTAAAATTTTTTTTAGAATTTTTTTTCTTTTTTTTCTTTTTTGTTTTGGGGGTAGTTTTTCTATTTCTCCCCCCAACCTCTCTGGTCCTCTCCTGCATATTTTTTTTCCCTCGTTGCACGCCCCTGAAAAGTGTTTCCCTGTGTGTTTATCATTGCAGACTTGGTTGAACCACTGGACCGTTTACTCTCAATGTGGCCACTGTATTTTGACAGATGTTCTGATTTTGAATATATATTTTTTTTGCATATATCATTACTCATTGTTCAGCTGCAAATGAATTGAACCTCAATTTAAAAAAAAAAAAGGAAAAAAAATTTATTTAAAAACCGGGAGAACTGACTCCCTGACTGAACAGGTCCACCCGTGAATCCTTTTTTAGCTCTTTCTGCGCTTTCATGTGCTAATCTATAACCTCCTTCTACTGTCTGACCTCACAGGGACCGCCTGGGTCACAGCCCTCGCCACACGCACAGCCTCCACCCCACAATCCTAACAGCATGATGGGACCCCACAGTCAGGTAAAGACACTAGTGATGGGTAGGGCTGTGAACCGGGACGTGCGCTCGATTTACTTCTTTTTCCCCTCTCTGTAAGCATGCTGGGCAGCGGGTACCCGCTCCCCGGGGAGCATCCCCCCGGGCACCCCAGCTCCGAAGCAAAATGTTGGTTTTTTCCCCTTTTTTTTTCTTTTTTTTTTTTTTTTCTTTCTCTCTTTTTTTCTTTTTTTTTTTTTGGTGTTTTTTTGGATATGCAGTTGTCAATGGACTGAGAAGTCAATCGTGGGTATCAGACTGTTTTACCTTCCCAAGGTAGCCTGAGAAATTTAACTTGATGTGGATTTTTAAGCTTCTGTTAGTAGCAGCAGTTGTAAAAAGAAGTAACGTTAAGCCTTTCTTCTTTTTTTTTTTTTCAGTACTTAGCACTGGGGTTTTTTGTGTGTGCGTGTCTGTATGTGCTTATTTGCCACTTTTTTTTTTAATATATCTCTATATATTTAAACTTGAACATTATCTAACACTCAGGGTTTCCCATGCACTAATTTTAACAGCCTCACCTAGTATTGCCAATGTCAAACACCGTCTCAAACAATAAACCTACAGAGAAAAATGTCTAAAAAACAGAGTCCAGACACCTTTCTCTTTTTTTTTTTTCCCTTTTGAAACGTCACTTTTTTAAAAAGGATGTCTCCAGAAAAAAAAAATTTAAAAAATTAAAAAAAAAAAAAAAAAAACAAAACCAGTGTGTACAGGCTAACCAGCGTGCGTGGGGAGCGTGCCACCTCCCCAGGGCTCAGCCCTGACCCCCTTTTGTGTCCCCACAGCCATTCATGTCGCCGCGCTACGCCGGAGGTCCCCGGCCCCCCATCAGGATGGGCAACCAGGTACTGCACTCCCAGGATCCTGGATTTCCTAGGGGTAGCTGTTATTTGGGAAGGGGGATGAGAGCCAGGTGTCCTGCAGATGCTCCTTGGGTTTGGGTGGCAAGCATCACCTCCTTGATCACCCTCCTCTTTCCTAGTTCCGGATCATCAGGTGTCACTCAACGATGATGGTTTAATTTTGTTGTGGGGTTTGGGCCTATCCAGGGTGGAAACAGCAGTGGGGAATGTGCTGCTTTCCAGCCATGGTGTTCCCAGCAGGGCTGTGCCATGCTGCATGCTCGCTGCCTGGCTGGATTTTCCCTGCAATCGCAGAAAATTAAAGTGATGGAGATAATCCTGCTGCTGGGCTGACCGAGTGTTTAGATCAGCGGCGGGGTCAAGCGGGGCAGGTCACCGCTGAATTTTTTGGGTTGGGTTTATCCTCTTATCCCAGCTTATACAAGGGCAGTTTGTTTCTGGCCTTGTGGATGGAGGCTTCCACCCCACGCCCTGCCTGGACACATGCATGGCCTTTGGTTAAGGAATTCATCTCCTTGACAGTGGTGCCATGCAGATCTGTAGAGTAATGACCAAATTTGTCACCAAAGGGAAATTAAAGGAAACCTGTAATTCCTTTGAGCAGCAAAGGTGTCTGTTAAAAATTATCTTGGGAGCTTGTTTTTTTTTTTTTGGCTATCAGCATGATTCTTCTGTAGGTCTAATTAGCAGAAAGAGCAGGATAGTCAGGAAGTAGGATGTACCAGCTTGCTCTGAGTTTGTGCTTGCTGGATTTGAGACTTGAATCTTTGGAATTTACTAACTGATGCTGAGACGTAGCTGAGATGTAGCTGAGAAAAACCCAGAAGGGGCTAATGGAGGACCCCCATGGCTGGAAGAACCTTCCACCCAGGCCACTGATGGATGATCTAACAAGGTATTAATTCACTGCACCTCCTCATGGGTCAGTTTTAACAGGACCCCATCCTGCAGTGGTTCTTGGCTCATCCCAGGCTCTGCTGCCGGTGAGCACAGTGAGCTGGGCAGACAGGAGAGGCAGGGGGGACTGGTTTGAGGAGGCTGTTCCCACAGCAGGATCAAGCATCCAGGAGTGGGTAAAGTTAATTAGAAAGATTTCATGTTTTCCCCCCAAACACCACATAAAAAACTTACGTTTGTACCTAGGCAGAGCTCAGCGAGGTTATGGTCACATCCTGAGGGACAAGAGGAATAAATAGGCGGGCAGGAAGGTCAGGCAGCAGAAGTGTAAATATCCACCTCTGCAACCCTCCTGGTTTATCCTCCTCCTGCTGCTGGCTTCCAGCCTGCAAAAAACTTGGGATTGGGCTGATTGTGCCTCTGCACAGCCATGTGCACCCAGAGCTTGTGCTGTAGCACGGGGATGCTCAGTGTTGGCATCCAGTGTAGCAAAGCTGTTTACAGTTTGCTTCCCTCAGGCAGACAGTATCTGCATTTTTCTTCCCCTTTATCTGCTTGGAGTAGCCTTTGAAGCTTAAATAGCAGCATTGCCTGAGTGGAATGTGAGTTTGGGGAGGGGGCCTTGCTCTGCTGCACATGGAGCATCTCCCTGCCAGAGCCAGTGAATCACTGCCTGGTTTGGCCCTGGTGCTGTGTGTCACCAGGGTGCCACGCTGTTGGTCACCTTTCCCTGCTGGATTTGACACCACTGCCCTGCTCAGCCTGGGTTTTCCCCTGCTTTCCTAAAATACAGCAGCATTTGGCATGAGGGGAGGGGGAAACGCCTTGTTTGGTGTTTAGAGAGGGTTTGCAGAAGGATGAGGGAGGCAAAGACGTGGAGGCTGTAGCAGTGGGATGTGGGATGCAGGAGGATGCAGGGGGATGCAGGATTTATTTTTTTTAATCTTGCTCCCTTGTTTTCACAGCCCCCGGGTGCTGTTCCCGGTACACAGCCATTGCTGCCCAATTCGATGGATCCCACGCGACAGCAAGGTAAACCCAGCAGAGGAGGGTGTGAAGCACTGGTGTTCTTAATTAGCTGTTAATTCGGGACGCAGAGTGGCTGTGGTGCCGTATAACACCCCTGCTTTCCTCCCAACAGGGCACCCCAACATGGGCGGCCCCATGCAAAGGATGAATCCTCCGCGAGGGATGGGCCCCATGGGTCCCGGTCCGCAGGTAAGCCCGGTGCCAGAGCACATCCTACACAAACCATGGGAGCAACCTCCTGGGGCTCGGAGTTCCCCCCCACACTCTGTCCCCCCATTAGTGTTAATGTGTTTTACATTAGTCTTGCATCTGGAAATCCCTCCTTTTAACAGGAGTGAGGTCTTCAGAGCTCATTAAGGGTATTAGAGCCTCCCTCCTGCCCTTCTGTCAGAGGGGATGGCACTTAGCTCCGAGCTGGAGCAGCCTTTGAGTGCATTACACTGCCTGCCTGGGAAACAGTTACAACCCTAACTGCAGGAAAGGGAAGGGAGGCTTGCATTTGAAATTAATAAATAAAAAGAAATGGCAAAGATCCCTTGAGCAAAGGGAATAAGGCTTTCCCCTGCGAGGTTCCCCTCCACCTGCCCTTCCTGCTGCCTGCTTGAGCTCTGTATTTCAGGAAAGGGGAGTAAACTTGAAATTAAGCAGATCTGGGTTAATATATGCTGTCGTTCCGTTGATTCAGTTCATGGAGTGGCTTGTTGTTGACTCACTCCTGTTTGTTCCTTCTACGAGACTTCAAAACCAGATTACCATATTTTGGTTGGAGGTTTATCCTCTCTGCATCGTCGCCTACGTGGAGTTTGTAGCGCGAGGATCAGAGTCTGTCAGGAGATGAGCGGGCGCGCTGGAGTTTTGTTTTGTTTTTCCCCTGGAGACTGTTGAGATAAGTGAATGTTGTGTAAAGAGGGAGTTGTGTCATGTCTTTAGCACCAACCTGAGGATGCTCCTCAGGGGTGTTCAGCCACGTCCACGGGCACCTGAATCCATCCTCGGGCAGGGGACAAAAAACCTGCGCAAGCATCGTTTCACCGGCAAGCCCTCCCATAGCGCTGCTGCTGTGCTTGAAATCCTCCTTTCCTGGAGGATTACACCCAAAAGGAAAAAAAAAAACAAAGGCATTTGCAAGCATGGCCTGCGCCAAGGCGAGCGGCGGCGGCTTGCCCGGGGGAGGCTGCTTCCCACTTCCAGAGCTCTCCGCGAAACTTGGAAGCGGGGAGCGCGCGCTGAGCGCCGCGTGGGATGGCGGCGGCTCCGGGAGCCGGCAGGAGTTGTGAAATGTTCAGAGCTTTATTTTTGACTCCACCGTTCCCTGTGTATGTACATTAGGGAGAGGTTTTTTAAGAGGCAGCCTTTCCCTGGAGAAGCGCTGGGCTTCCCAATCTGGCACCCACAGGCGCTGCCTGCCTGCAGCCATCCAGGAATCGGCGCCTGCGCAGGCAGCCACCAAAAATACCGACCCAGACCCCGCAGCCCCTCACACCTTGTGTGCTCTGGGCTTGTTTTTCCTTTAAGCTTTGCATTGGGACCTTCCTAAATACTTCTCAGATGATTCCAGAGGGCTTCAGAACATCCAGCCAGGACATCCTGGAGCCCTGACAGCAGCTCCTTACTACACAGCAGTGATGAATCATCCCTTTCAGCTGATTGCTGCTGCATTTTTCCCTTTAAGAGTCCCATTTGTAGCTCTGCAGAAGCCAGGACAGGGTTTGCCAGCACCAATATGAAGAGGGTTTGTAGCTCTCTGGGTTTTGGTGGTGCCTTGCCCAGGTCGCTCGGCGCAGCTGCGTTCCCTCCTCACCCTCCCTGAGCATCTTTCAGCTGGCTTCGTTTTCCAGCCTTTCAGCTCCAATTAAAAATGCTGAGCCCTTTTTTTTTTTTTTTTTTTTTTTTAAACAAGGGGCTTGATGCTGCTATTCAGTGTAAATGGCTGAAATTTCTATCAATTAGGGACTTGCTGGTAATTTGTTTGGGGAAAACCCTTTTCTGCCTCTTCAAAACAAACTTTAGTGATGCCCTCAGCAGTGCACCGTGCACTGGTAAATTCAGGTAAAAACTGACAATACTAAAGTATTGTACTTAAAATCCAATTTGGAGCACTCCAAGGGGCTGTGGTGTAGGAAGTGGCCAGCCATTCCTCCTCCTGCTGTAGCAGTTTTTTCTTTAAATGGCAGAAACACAGTTCAAAAAGATGCATTACAGAAGAGAGGGAGGTGGGAGGGGAAGAGTGGCAACGCGACCTAAATCTGGACCTAAATCTGGCTGCACATCGCCTGGAGGGCACACGGAGCAAAGCACAGACCAAATGGAGCGCAGCATTCAGGGGATTCCTCTTCCTCCACTGCCTTGGGCTTGGCTTTGTACTAGAGCTGGTTTTAGGAGATGAGGGATGCAGATCTGAGGCTCCCAGTCCCAGCTGGAGGCTAAGCCAGGGAGGAATAAGGCAGGAGAGGGGGCCCAGGGGGCTGCCTGCCCTCGCCTGCTCCAGGGGATGGAGCAGAGAGCTGGGGAGCAACAGAAAAACAAGCCTGGCTTGGTGTTCCCTACTCCAGCAGTCATCCAGGGAGCAAGGAGTGCTCCATCTCGGGAGGAGCTCATGCAGCCTTTCCTCATCCTTACACTGCAGCAGGAACCTTCCAAGTGGTGCCTTTTCTCCTCCTCCTGCCCGTTTTCTCCTGCACAAAAGGAAAAATCCAAAAGGCTGTTGCTGGCGCTGGGGGCTGTGCACAGAGCTGGGAGGGGGATGTTTTCCCTCCAAAGAGAGCAGGGAGGGGGAACTTTGGGGCTCAGCCTGGCTCCCATCCATATTCAGCTGCCTGGGGTTTTTTTATTAACACAATTGCCTCTTATGTTCATCGTCATTAATTTTTTTTTTTAAAGCTCATTTTTGCACACAGACCCGCTTGTTTTTTTGTTTGTTTATTGGCTTTTTTCCCCCTTTCTCTTGTCTCTCTGGTGTCCTGCACGTTACGGTAGACTGACCCTTGGTTATCGTTGCAGAACTACGGCAGCGGCATGAGACCTCCACCCAACTCCCTAGGTCCTGGCATGCCTGGAATTAACATGTAAGGCAATCCCCACACTGGGAGGTTTCACCGTGGGCTCGGGACTGTCTGCAGAAAAACACAAGGTTTATTTTTACCCCTGTTCAATTTTGTCCCCAGGGGGCCAGGCGCTGGTAGACCGTGGCCGAACCCCAGCAGTGCTAACTCAGTGAGTATCTTGGGTTGGTTGGGAAATGTCATGGAAATGGGATCATTCCCCATTAGCTGAGCCCTGCTAATGAGAGGGGGTTCCCCAGCCTCTTGCTTAGGCTGCTGGGACTCCCATCCTGGCCAGGCTGAGGGGGCACAGGGGGTCTTAGCTGTGCCCTGGTGGGATGCACCCATGGCTGAACCTGTCCCTCTTGTCCCTACAGATCCCATACTCTTCTTCATCGCCTGGTACATACGTGGTGAGTCCTCCTGCCCCTGCTGTCTGTCCTTTCATCAGGAGTTCATGTGGTTTGAGGGGGCAGTCAGTGCCGTGGGAGGTGGCACTGGGCTGGGTTTCGGGGTTGGAAGTCGTTGTTGGGCTGGTTTTGGGGGAGGTGTTTGAAAACATGGAAAGGTGGGCAGCGCTCATGTTTGCACATCTGACACCAGCTTTGTTTCCGCAGGGTCCGCCCGGCGGCGGTGGCCCTCCAGGGACACCCATCATGCCCAGTCCTGCAGGTACGAGCCCTCTGAGACCCCTCTCTCTCCAGGGCCATCCCTGCCCTGTTGGTAATGACCAATTTTTATGGCTTTTGGCTTTCTGGGAAGTGAGGAGCATGGGCTTCTTGACTTTGGGATTGCATTTGGGGATGTTCCTACATCCCCCTGTGGATTTGGATGCTGGGGGGCTCAGGAAGGTGAGGAATTATCCCCCCACCCTTCCCAGCCAGGAGTTGAATTATTTTTCACAGTTGAATTTCTTTGATTAAAAACTTTGTGGATCTTCATTAAATACAAATTAACCAGAAAATGGTGGTAGTTAGAGGGAATTTTGGGTGATAAAATACAAAAGAATGAGTTCAAGTGGCATGAGTTTGTTTTAATTAAGAAATGAATTAATCACCCGACTTACTGGGCTTCACTGTTCCACAGATTCAACAAATTCAAGTGACAACATCTACACAATGATTAATCCAGTACCGCCCGCAGGCAGTCGATCAAATGTAAGTCTGCTTTCTAATAATTTACATATCAGATACCATAACAAATCATAATTAACTTCATCAGTTGAGAGTAAAGCAGTTTAATTGATTTCAGCCATTTGTTACAAAACAGAAATAAAACAAACCATCAAAAAGCGATTAACTCTTGGGCGACTTTGTTAATTTTTTATGCTTATTAAGAGAGCAGCAGTCCTGCTGCTCCGGCCAAGGTGCTGGGTTTTGTGGGATATGGGTAACCTTAAATCCTGTGGAATTCTGGTTGGAGTGCTGTGCTGCAGCTCTAGGTTGGCCATCCAGCCAAATTTTATGGGTGAACCCAGAGGACCATGAGCCCCGCAGCCTCAGGCGGTGATACAGCCCCAGGTTGTGCCAAGGAATGTTTAGATTGGATATTCAGAAACTTTTTGTCATCAAAGGGGTTGCCAAGCATTGGAAAGTGCTGCCCAGGGCAGTGGTGGAGTCACCATCCCTAGAAGTGTCCAAGGAATGTGTGGATCTGGCACTTCAGGGTATGGTTTAGTGGGTGCTGAGTTGACTGTTGGACTTGGTGATCTCAAAGGACTTTTGCAGCCTCAACAATTCAGTGATTCTGCCATACCTCCCTCCTTGCCCTGCTCCAGAGGGATGCCTGGGGCAGGGACAGTCCCCAGGAGCCACCGTGGCAGCTGCTTGGGGTTGTTCTGTGGCTGATTTTGGGTTTGTCACCTTTTTCTTGCGCAGTTCCCAATGGGCCCCGGCTCTGACGGCCCCATGGGCGGCATGGGCGGGATGGAGCCCCATCACATGAACGGATCATTAGGTGAGCCTTGATGTCCTCCAGCCCCTGGGGGACACTGGCAGAGCATCCCAGTGCCTGTTCCCATCCTGGAGTCAGCCCCCACTTGGCACCAGTGCTCAAAGCAGAGCCTTTGGGGAGAAGTCAGCGGGGCTGTGGGGGGCACAGGGCCATGGCTGCAGGCCCAGTAAGGCTCTTCTCCTTTCTCTCCCCTCTCTGCAGGGTCAGGAGACATAGATGGACTTCCCAAAGTAAGTGGGGTTGGTTGCAGGGCGGGTGTGTGGGATCTGCCCTTCCCTCAGCACTGGGGTGCTGCTGTGACCCTGATGGATGGGGACACAGGGAATGTGACTGGGGTGGGCAGGGCTGTGTCCTCCCCCTGTGGCATTTCAGGGGGGCTGTGGGGACCCGCTCACCACCTCCCCTCCATCTCCCACAGAATTCTCCAAACAACATAAGTGGCATTAGCAATCCCCCGGGCACTCCAAGAGACGACGGGGAGCTGGGAGGCAACTTTCTCCATTCCTTCCAAAATGACAATGTGAGTGAGTGCCTGCCTGGGGATGGGGGGACAGTCCCTGAGGTGTCCCAGCACTGGGATGGGTGGGCTTGGCACAGTGGGGGCCTTTTGGACTTGGGTTGTGCCATGTGGGAGCTGCTGCAGGAGAGAAGAGTGGGCAGGAGGAGATGAGGCAGTGGGAGCTTGGGGTCTGTGGTGGGATGGAGTGCACAGGTGGAGGGGAGCTGGTGCAGAGGTGGCTGTGCTGGCCTGGCCAACTGGAGGCTCCGTGGGTGGCTGCAGACATCCCTCCTGTTCTTCCTCTATTAGCAGCATATACACATGTGCATGTTAATTATTTGTTTCAAATTGCATCTCGCCCCATACTGTTCTGCTGATTTTCTTCCCGGAAAAGCAAGTTACAAGCGCAGATTAGGCCCTGATAAATTGGAGTCTCCAGCATATCCTCTCTTCCTGGTTTATTAGATCCAATTAGGTTGCTGTGTAGTTGTCATCAGCCTCTTTTGCATCCCTCCCTTCGATGTCTGGGGCTGTGACCCGCCTGGTTTCTCACCGTGGCTCTGTCTCTCTTGCAGTATTCCCCCAGCATGACGATGAGTGTGTGATTTCCCTCCCCCTCCTCCTCTCCAGGATCAAGAGAGTCAGCTGCCGTTCGGAGGATCTCAACGAATTATGCAAGAAGAAGAAGAAGAAGAAGCTAGGTGTATGGGCAGGGACACGCGTGGCGGGGGCCAAAACCCCAGGTTTAGTTTCATGCAATAAAAAGGCTGAACTTTTTATTCCATAAAACATGAAGGACAAAACTTAAAATATTTCAAGACATGACAAGACCCTTCTTTGTGCAGAAGGGTTTATATATGTACATGACACTTCTTTTTGGAAACAAACGGAAGCCTCTAGCACCCAACTCCGATCTCTTTGCTTTGTTCTTTTAAATAAAGACAGAAACCGAACCTGTTGTATGTTTGTGCCGTGCGACACCAGGAAGCTAGTCTAGATATGAAATCATGTTGTCTCTGTTGTAGTCATTTTTTTAAATAAACTGGACAGTTTACAATGGTGGTTTTCGTTCAGAAGGCCTGTTTTTTTTTTTTTTCTTTTTTTTTTGTTTTGGGGTTTTTTTTCCCGTGTATTTTTTGGGGTTGTTTTTGGTTTTGGTTTTTTTTTTTTTTTTTTTTGGTTCGTTTGCAGCACAACGCTTCCTCCTCCAGTTAACAAGATCTGCTTTGGGGAAGAGACTCCAGCACCTCGTTATAAACTTGTTAATATAACAGGTGACCCCTTCCAGGATCACATCCTCCAATGAATCGTGATCTTGCTCTCTGTGACTGTGGCATGCACTGTGTTAGTCTTTCCCCCTCCTCTGAGTACAAGAAGAAATCTCTTGTCCCTCCCTTCCCCAGAATCCTTCAGCTGGTTCACTGCAAAAATAGATTTTTTTTTAATAACTTTTTTTTTAAAATCCACCAGAAAAAAAAAAAGAAAAAAAAAAAGGGTTAATCTGACCTGGGACTTTGAAACTGTGATCTCCAGCTAACTTTGGGATTTTCTGGGGGTTTTATTTGCTTTGGGGGTATTTTGCGGGGGGATTTCTTTTCTTTAGAGATGTGCTCTTGTCAGGATTTCACTTATCTATGATTTGGAACTGGATGGAGATATTTTTTAAGGATTTCTTGTTGTTAAAATGTAACCTTGCTATTCTGTAGGCTCGCTCTGTAACAAGAAAATAAAAATTAATGGCAAGCATCGAAGGCCCTTCTTCTGGTGGGAGAGGAAGGGACGAGCCAAGGCGGCGGGTTGGGATCTCTGTACATGACACTACCCTGTAGTTTGGTCTTGGTTTTTCTCCAGCTCCCATTTCTGCTCCATGTATATCATATTCTGTAAAATATTCTCTCCCTTGGATTTGACCTTTGTGCGGATTATTGAAAGCATTGTATCTTGTTTCAGTGTTTTTTCTTACCTTGTAGTCTGGTTCGAAAATTACCGAGAGGGAAAAAAAATAATTATTATACATTGTAGTTTGTGTACGATATTTGTTGATAATGTTTTATTAAAGGGATGTCTTTTTTCCGCACCCCTTCATTGAAATGTTTTTGGGGGACATTTGGCTTGTTTTTATTATTCTGACTGCAAGACATGAGATGACAAAACAACTTTTTTTTTTTTAGTGTGTAATACGAATAATAATTTTTTTTAATGTTTGCCTTCTTTTTCCTAGGCATTTTCATTCTGCTTTACCTGTAGAAAGTCAGGAGGGAGGGAGGGGCGGGTGGGATGGGGGGTCTGAGGGTGTCAGTCTCATAGTTACAGTCAGGTTAATATTTTCCAATTAATGCAGATTTGTTGCATTGCATACCCAGGGGCTCCCCAAGGGGTCAAATTTTTACCTTTTCCACTTTACATCTTGTTCAGGTGTGGGGGGTTTTTTCCTTTCTTTTTTTTTTAATTTTAATTTTTTTGTTCTGATGTGAGGAAATGAAAGGACCGGTTTTAATGTATTTTAAAATGAATAGCTAAATTATTGTCTTCATTGGTATGGGATGGTTTTTTGAATGAAACGGTTCCCCCTCCTTCTCCCCCCTCCCCCTGCTGTAATAAATATCAACATAAACATTTGATTTCGGTGCTCTGCAGTTTGTTCCTGGTGTTTGCTGCCAGACCCAGGGTGGGAGTTGGGTATTTTTTTCCAGCCTTTAGCAAGGGCCAAGCCCCAGATTTGGGGTGCAGGAGCAGAGGTGATGCAGAGCTGAGGTGGCTTTTTAGGAGGACTGGCTGAGCCTGGGAATTCAAAATCCCAAAAGGATTCAGGACCATTCAGGATGCAGTTCAGGACCTGGGTGAGGTTTAGTGAAGCCTCTTTGTTTCTTGGAATTGGGGTTTTTTTTTTAAGTATTTCTGAAAATTTAGCCTAGAAATGGTCAGTGTTTTCTGCACCGGGCTGAGGATGTTCTGGCTGGATGCTTGCCCTCCCCACACCCAGCCCATCAGGCTGCAGGCAGAGGGGGCTGCTTTAGGGGCTAAAAGGGGATTTTGGTACACTGCTCCCCAGGCTTTGCTCGTTAGAGGCTGGGGGAGTTGGGACACCAGCGTGGTGTAGATGGAGGCTGGTCTGCCCTGCAGCAGCTCCCTGGGCCAGGAGCTGGGCGCTGCCACTTCCCTTTGCCAGAGTCCTGCCCTGCTGGGAGGTAAGAAAGGGAGTGGAATACACGAGTGTTGTTCTCAAATACACAAATACTGAGCTTGCTGTGGGGTCAGTGACCCCTCCTTGGGCAAGAGCTGCGGTGCTGGGTGGGTGCACACACCCTCCCAGGAACAAACAGCTCCAGGACTACTGGGGATGGAGAAACCCAGGCAGCCCAACCTGGTTCCCCAATGGGCAGCATCAGAGGCTGGGGGAAAGATTGGGAAGTTTTAGGTCTTTGGTCCAGGCAATCACATCCCTCTGTGCTTTGCAGAAAGCAGAGTGTGAGCATTGTCCATCACTTGGTTTCATGACCCCTGAGGGGCTGAGGCTGATGAGGAAATCCTGCTCTCCCAGAGCCCTGGGCCATCCCTGCCCACCCAGGCCCTGCTTGGCTGCCCAGAGCAGCAGGCTCCTGCACTGCTGCCCCTTGTGTTTTTATTGTGGGGCATAGAAAAGTCCTTCCTGATGGTTCTTAAGGGTTACAGGCTGGTATTATTAAATATCACCATGAAACTGCCAAGTTCCCTCCTCGAAACGTCTCCTGAGCCCAGCCTCAGGGATAATTGTCTCCCCCATTAGTTTTCATTAAATTAAATGCAGGAGGAGGATCAGAACAACCAGGGGCTCCAGGCTGAGCACGGTGTGTACTTGTTGGCACGATGTGTGCAGCCTGTGGAGCTGGATTTTGCAGTGGGAACGGTTCAGGGGAAGGGAGTGTGGAGTGGTGGAGAGCTCTCCTGTGGGCAGCCAGGCTCCTCTGCCTCCTCATCTCGGGCTCCTGCCACCTCATTCTTGCACGTTCTGCTTCCCTGGCTGCCGTTCATGAAAAGTTAATGCCTGGCCCTGGTCCGTGCTGAGGTAACGCCATTTGTGTGCTGAGAGCCTTTATAAGTTATTGATGTCAACCCAGATGTGCTCCTGTGACCCATTGTTGGTCTCCCCAGCCCACCTGCCTCAGCTGGGCCGATTCCAGCAGGCCACACTGGAGGAACTGGGAGAGCTGAGCCATGCAGTGTGCTTGGGACGTGCAGCAGGACACCAGGGAGAGGTGGTAGGGGCTGCCTGGTTCAAGGACCACAAGGGGCCAACCTGAGCATCTGTGCCAGGTGCCAAGCTGGGAGCTCCACTTGCCCACAGCTTGAGCTCCCCTCCAGGCCCTCAGAGGAGCATTCCCTGCACAAGGATCAGCCCTCAGAGGAGCATTCCCTGCACAAGGATCAGCTGCTCCTTCCAACAACACTCCAATACCACTTCCCCCCAGCCTCAGGTGAGAGGGGCTGTGCCTCAGCAAAGCAGGGACATGGCCTCACACCCTTGTGTATGATCCCCTCACCTGCAGTGCCTTCCTGGTGCCTCACACAACCCCTGAAGCCTTGTTTTCCTGCTGACCATCCCATGTCTCCCTGCTTCCGCTGTTTTTCAAAACTGCCTTTGCTCTGCCTTCGTCCATCCCTCCCCGTGTTTGTGCTTTGTCTCAGCTCAGCTTGGACACAGCAGGGTTCCAGCTTCCCTCAGTCTCTCCCCTTCAACTGCCTGCCCTGACAGAGATGTCTTTGTTGAGAGGTAAAAGCAACTGAAGGGACTCTGCCTCTTCCAGACAGACCATCCCCACAAATTCCCACATCTACGAGAAGCACATGAGGTGTTTCACCTCCACACAACCCCTCTCCACCACAGCTGCTCTTCCAGCAGGCTTCCTCGGGGAAATTCTCTCCTCAGGAATGCTAACAGGCAGCTGGCTGCCCTACAGGGCTTCCTCCCTAGGACGGGTAATGACCCGAAGCTGGAAGAGCGAGGGGATGTCAGGCAGGGTCCGTGTGACACAGCAGGGAGCCAGCAGCCCGAGAAAGAAACACCCACTGCGTGTGACAGGCTCCACAGAGCACAGCTCTGGTAAAATGTATTCCCAAACACCTGGCTGCAAATCACAGACCTGAACAGATTCGCTCCGATGGGCTGAATTAGGCATCCCTGGAGCAGGCAGGATTAAGATGATGCAGAGCATTGCAACGCTTTATGAGTTTTTATTCTCTTTCAAGCACTTCTGCTAACTATGGAGGGATTTGTTAATTTAGCCTGCAGCCACTGCATCCCAATTTACAGGGTGCAATTGTTGACCTCAAATGTGACTGGTGAATGTTCCCAAAGCCTGCAGAGAGGAGCTGCCTGATGGACTGGGGCTGGAACACACAACTGGGGTGCTCATCCAGATGGCCAGGGATCACAAAGCACAGACCAGCCTCTGACACAAGGCACTGAAGTGAGATGAATTTCTTGGAAATGTGCTCTTCCACACCTTAAAATAGCGCAGGCTGTCCTCTCCCTTCCCATGTGCTGGAGGGTACCAGAACTGCAAAACATTCTACATTTGGCTGCAGCTAATTTAGCTTTCATTTTACAAAACCCACACTAATCCCCCCATGTTAAAAAGAATATGCTTCCTGCTCAGTTAACTCTGTGTGGCAGGAAGAAATTCTTCCTTTGTATTTTTAGCAGCAAATACCAGCTACAGGCACCAAAGTTTCCCGCTACATTCTACACCACTTTCCCCAAATGCACAGGTCTCTTCATCCAGGATTGGGGGATAAAAGGACTGTGGTTCTACAGATCCAACAAAGCAATCCCTCCGATTAAGTGCTTTGGGAACTAAGCACAGGGCAGCACGACGCATCCCACGGCAGCCAGGAGTAAAACAAAGTCAAAGCCAGGCAGAATGAAAAAGCCTCGTGGCTCAGGCTTTCCCCTTGAAGCTTTGTAAGTCTCTTCTGCATTCAGAGGGACTCAAAGCAACCTCGGGAATAGGTTTGAGTCTGGCTCTGTGCAGAAGCACACTGAGAGCAGAGCCTGCGCACAGGAATAATGACTGGCTTATGTTCTTCCCAGGCAATGGAGGAAGAGTGCAGGAGGATGCATCTGACGACTTCTCTAACCCACATCCAGAGGGGTGAGCCCCTAAAATGAAAGAGTTTCTTCATGCACTATTTAGTTTAAAAAAAGAAATTTTACTTTCTGTAACAATATAATTTATTTTTTAAAGTAAATTAATCCACCTTTCTTTAATTATACGACGGTTCTGGCAAAGAGAAGCAGCAGGTACAGTTGGTGAAGTATTTTCATTTGAGCTGAATTTCACACAGTTCCATGCAGATACAGTGCCAGAAACTTCTTGAATGTGTCTGGCTGAAAGCCAGAAATTCCAGCGGGCTTCTGCAGAGAGAAAGACACGGATGCTCAGTTTGCAGTGAAGTGATTAATGTAGACAAACAACGGCTTTAAACATGCTTGAATAAGACTTTCAGGCATGGCAGCTTCCAAATTGTGCTCTCCCTCCCCAGAAGGGCTTGGGTGGGGGTACTTCCACTGGTGTCAATCTCAGAGGGCAGAACCCCTTTGCCTGTGAGTGAGATGCCCTCCCAGTATAACCAGTACTGGCAGCCCCGTGCTCTATTTACTCCCCAGAGAGGCTGATGGCTGCTTGTGAGAGTTCCCTTCCTCAGAGCTGGCTTTGAACAAGCACATTATGGGATGGTGGATTTCAGCTGGGGGTATCTGTATGTAGGAGTTCACGTTAAGCTTGGCATGTCACACATCAGCACTACAAACACTCAGGAACTGGTCTCCTGAGAAACACCTGCCGAGGTAAAAATGAGGCCAATGTCCCCTGTGGGTCACTCCAGCTAGTTTAAAACTTCCTGCAGCTCTGTGCCAGCTCCCAGAACCCCAGCTGTGGTGAAAGGGCAGCATTTCCACCAACATTTCCCAAGTTCTCCTTACCGTAACAACTCCCTTCTTGATTTCTGGGACACACTGGGCTCTCTCATACAGGTTCTGATCAGAGTCAATCCAGACTAGGTTTTTTACACCATCATTAGAGACAAGGTCTGTTGTATTTAACTGGAACACCATGAACTGGAAGAGCTGTCCATCTGTGCCAATGCTTTGCACCACTATTGGCTGCTCCAAAACCTTGGGATCATTCTAGGAAAAGAAGGGGCATGTGGGGGAGAATGTTTCAAAAGCTAGTTACAACAGAAATTGTAGGAGTACTTGCTGATTCTGCATCTTTGGGTTGGTTTAAAGCCAAGATTTTAATAAATATATTGTTACCTTGCCCAGAAAATTACTCTAGTCAAACAAGTTTTGAATGTAGATTTTGTAGTTTAATTAAAATTCCTCCTTCAGCCAACAACGAACTGTCAATTTACATACTGAGCTGTGGGATGGGTTAGAGTTTTACAGCTGAACCTATTCCCTGGTTCCTGCCCATACCACCCCAGTGCATCACAAACATTGCTCATCAGTGGATTTCTGAAGGTTGAGTTTTCACCTCCGGACTGGGAAGCTTGGATGTGAAAATTACACAAGGGGGTGTAAAAAATTACACAAGTAAGGGGCTTTGAGGCCTCCCTGCAGGGGCTGCAGCAGCAGAGGAAGAAGAGAGGCCCAGCAGGAGGCTCCCATACGTACCCCGTGGAGCGCCTTGGCCTTGGCCAGCGCGTTGCCAAAAGCAAACATCAGCATTTTAGCACGGAGCTGTTCTGGTCTGAACCTGTCAGTGCGAACGTTGGCAGACTCCAGGAAGAACAGGGTGTGAAGGTGAGAGTAGGGATAACCATCTCTGAAACCTAAAGGGCACATACTCATGTCAGAAACCGCTCAGGAAGACGCGAGGCAGCCAAGGTTTTCTCCCATTATCTTCAGGAACTGCTCAAGTCGTTTGCTGGGGTTTGAGTTCTTGTCCTCAGTCCTGCTTAGGCAACAATATACTCACCCACCACAGGTCTGGAGAACTTGCACTGCAAACCTGTTCCCTCATTCCCACACACTCCCTACTCTCAGCTGCCCCAAAAGGACAAGGAGCCCCAAGTTAACCCCAACACAGATAATTATGATCAGCACTGACCTGTATCATTGAGCTCTTTGTACACATTCACCTCCTGAAGGTCGATTGTAGGTGCAATGGGATAGAAGGTCTCCAGAACATGCTCTTTGGTGGCCAGTATCTCCTCCTTGGAGGCTACTGGTGGTATTGGGCTCATTGAGTTCATGAGTATTCCACTCAGGCCACGGACCTGAAGGAGGATGGATTCTGGGGAGGGAAATTAGGCCACAGTCAAACACTGGTGAAATAACATCGGGGAAAGATGTACATTTCCTTTTGCCAGTCTGTTCTGCAAGGCTCACTCTGTCCCCGTCAACTCCAAACCCATCCTAAATAGTAGCTCAGCTGTAGGTTCTTCTAAAATGCCAACGTTAATTGCTAGGGCTAAGTTCTTAACTAAACATCCTTAGAAAAACAACAGCACTGATTTAGGACACAAGAAAATAAACAATCAGGTCTAAGAGACTGGCTCCCTTCTCCCACCATCTTGTCAATATTGATTAACACCTAATAATCTCCTCAGGGACAGCATCCTGCCATTATCCAAGGGAGCCCATGCCAACAGTGCTATTTAAACCAGAAAGAATTACCCGGTTCCAGAAATTGTTTAATTTTTTTCCAAATCCTCAGCCTTAAAGCCAGGAGCTTTGCTACCCCTCTTATCTTACAGAGCTAAATGCTTCCACCACAGCAGCAACAGACCTCTTTCCCACGTTGCTGCTATCTTGCAGTTTCTAGCCAACATCCTTTTACTCAGAGAAGGATACTTCCCAGACATTAACCGGCATATATGTATCAGGTTTTCAAACAGCATTGGGCTGTAAAACAAGAAAAGAAACAGTTACATAAAAATGAGATCATAATAGCAGGCAGACGCTTCTGGGGCACAAATGCTGTAAAATTACTGTATGTAAAACATACAATGGCATAGCACTCCCAAACAGTTAACAGAGATTGCAGATTGGTATCACACACACCAGGCCTGTTTCAAGTTGGCAGAGGTAATGCTTACAATTATTTTAAAAACTGATACTCTGCATCAGCTAGTAGATCTTGAGTTGAAACAGAGACATTGGCCTGAAAGAAGCTTTGATCCAGCGTATATTTATGTCAGTGCTACTGCCAATATTCAGAATTGGGTTTTATTTGTTGCTCTGGTTGTTGCTTTTTTTGTTTGACAATCTGATGAAGAGGGTCTTGCACAGCAGGCCCTCTTTCCACAGAAGAGCTCAGTATGAATTGTCTCTGTAGAGTTTAAAACCTGCCCTACAGCTGAGCACTCACCAATATCGTTCCCTCCTGGGAGCAGCCTCTGCCGTGTCCCAGAGCCGCGCGTGGGATACCATGTGTTTCGCCCTCTCCTCCAGCTCCTGGAGCCCAAGAGCCGGGTTATCCATAATGCCCTGCACGGCTGGGGGCAAACCTTCCACGAGCTTCGTCTTGGTGAGCCACTGCGCCTGCCGCACTCCTGGAAACACAACCCAGAGCGATCTATCACAAGTGACAGTGGTGATGCTCCAGGCCCCCTTCCAACCCAAGCCATTCCCTGTGTGACCGAGGCTGCCTGGCAGCTCATGGGGCTGGGCAGGCTCTCCACAGCCCGTGTTTTACACTCAGTGCGAGGAGAACCCTTGGCAGGAGGAGCAGGGCGAGTGCTTGGGCAGGGGACAGCGCGGGGTGTCGGGTACCTTCCAGCATGCGGACACCCTGATGGCAGATGTAGCACCCGCGCTCCTTGTACAGCGGCATCTCCTCGTAGCGCGGCCCCGGCGAGTGCCAGGGGTCGCGCCAGCCGCGCTCCCAGGGCGGGAAGCGCGGCCGGGCCAGGCCGGGCACGTAGTGCAGCCGCTCCGCGTACGTGACGGTGTCCAGCTCCACCTGCTCCCGCACCGGCCGCGGCTCCGCCATCTCCGCCAGCACCTCCGGCGGCGGCCCGCGCACGGTCCAGGGCGTGCGCGGAAGCGGCGCGCGGTGGCGGGGCCGCCCCGCGCGGGTGACAATGCCGCGGGCGAGGCCCCGCGTTGCCACTGCCGCAGCCGCCACCCCCGCCCGCCTCAGCGCCTTCGGCCCCGCCGCCATCGCCGCCATCCTCCTCCTCCTCCCGCCGCCGCCTCAGCGCCCGCCCGCCGCCATCTTGGCGAGGGTTCGTCCCCCACCGTCACCTGCGGTGACTGACGGCGGCGGCGGCCAATGGCGGGCAGGCGCGCCCCGCGGTAAGGGAGGGTCGGCAAATTGCCTGGCGGGTGAGGGCAGGCGCTGGGTGGGTGAGCGGGGAGAGGCCCCTCCTCACCTGTGGGGCGTGGGGATACTTCAGAGACTGCTCCTGGGCGGGAGCCGGCGGGGCCAGCTTGGGCGTCTCGGGGTTGGGGCCGCTCTGCCCCGGGCCGGCCTGTCCGAGCCCCCGGGCGCGCACAGTAAGTGCTCAAAACTCTGTAAATCTGCGCAGCCCCGAGCCCGGGCGTCTCGGCCTCACTCCCGGCCACGAGGGTTACCCGCCGTTCATAGCCCATGGGTGCCCCGGACACAGCGGTAGGAAGCCGGGCCAGTTGCCTTTGGTTCTCTGTTTCGTTCCCCGCCCCCCCCCCCCCCCCCCCCCCTTGGAATGAGTGCGTTTCTGTTACAGAGGTGAAGGTTACTTAATTAATTGACCTTGACAGTGAAACTGCTGGAAGCGCTAAATGTTCGCTTCCTGCGCTTCGTCACCCGTGGCTTCATAATTTCCTGCGGCCCGTTTTGTGTCCAAGGGATGCAGACACGAGCGCGCTGTGAGCAGCCTTCACTCAGCCCGCGTGTGAGAATGGAGGGGCCCCGCGAGGTCTACAGCGTGGTTTTGACCTGAAGAATGTTCTATGGATACAACTCATTGGGAAGACCAGGAGCAAGAGATAAAATCCTGTGCTTGCTGGCCTCCCCTACCTGTATAGTCAAAGTCCATTGAATATACAAAGTGGTTGTTTGCCTGAGACTTTGCCCTCTTCGCCTCAGGTCTCTTGGCTCTGCACGCTGCTCTCAGCTGGCCGCCCACCCCCGTTCCAAAGCTGCGCTGAGCTCAGGCCGCATCTGGTGCCTGGGCTTGTTACCCATTGTCCTGCTCGCTGGGTTTGTCACCCTTTCTCCTGGGCCGAGCAGCAGATTTTTAAGATGTTTCTGCTCCGGGTGACCAAGCGGCTCTATTGTAGGAAATCAGCACGGCGGAACGAGCGGGATTAAAGGGTGTAGCATTGCCTGGGCAGCCTGTCTGGGGAGGAGGGCCCGAGGCTGGGCTGAGGCTCTGCTCTGGGCTGCGAGGTGTGGCGTTTGTGCAGAGGCATTGAGCACTCGAGCAAAAATGAGGTGTGCAGACACAGATCAGCTCCAGGTTTTCAGTTTAACATATACACACAAGATGCTCAAGAGAGGTTTTCTGTCCTTCTCCGAAAACACCCAGCTAATGAGCACGCGCTGCTTTTCATCGTGCTGGGTTTGATGCAGGGCTTGTGTTTTGCAGGCAATGAGTGACAACGAGAGTGCTAACGAGGAGGACTGGCTGGCTCTGAGGCCCCAGGAACCTTCTCCATCCCAGTGCTGCGGCAGCGGCTGCAAGCCCTGCATCTACGATGTGTACGAGAAGGAGCTTGCACAGTGGGAGAGAGCCAAAGCAAAGCAAGACAAAAGCCTTCTCATGGGAAAGAAGGAGCAGGTCGATTTCTCTTCATCGCATCCTGGAGCCTGTGCTTTGATCGTACTCGTTCGAGTGTGGGGTGGTGGTGATGGGTGAAGGATGCAGGGATAAATTCAAGTGGTGCCTTAAGAGAGGGCTGTAAATGCAATTCCCCAAACTCAGTCTTCTCCCTCCCCCTTGGCCACTCTCTCCTTGCTGTAATGTGATTTTCCAAGTGTAGAGTTCTCCCTGGTGTCGCATTACAGCTCTAGCTCTGCAGCTTCTCCTCTCCGAGTTTCTTCGGAGAAGCTTTGTTTTCCTCACCTTTCTCATCTCTGCCTGATTTTTAGACTCGTATTTTGATGCTGAGAAAACAATACATTGTGCGTGGTGGAGCACTTGTCTTCAGAGTGTAATTTTTAAGTCTGTCAGTGCCCTTTTACATTAGATTAACTATGCTGGGTCAAGCAAAAAAGATCAGCTGAAACAACTGACAATATTTTCTGTTCACTGTGGCCATCAGCAGGTTGCAAAGTTGCCCCCAAAGCAACGCTTGGCTCTTTTAGCAGAATTATTTCTGTTTATTTCCAGATACGAGAAAATGATCGCAGTGAGTCATAATAGGATGACCTTGCTGTAAGGTGTAAAAAAAAGTAATTTAAAAAGGTGGTGGTGGGGAGAAATGCAAGATCCCAAAGTGCACACTGCAGAACATGATAATGAATCAGCAGAGAGCTGGAATTTGCGCCGGGCCTCAGTGTTTAATATACGTCCTGAGTATCTCTGGCACTAAATGAGCACACACGTTTGCTTCCAGAGAAAAATGAAATAATAAAAGACATCATCTAACCAAGTAATTATTTATTGTTGTTCTTGCAGAGCAATAATTCAGAGCTGAATCCAGATACATTCACTGCATTCAGCGTGAGCTCGGTGGAGCAGCTGACAGAGGACACCTACCAGTACAAATTTGAATTACCGGGAAATAGCAGCCTGCGATTGAGTTTAGGACAACATATCGTGTTAAGGTATTGTTCTCTGTGCTAGTTAAACAGTCTGCATTATGTAACCTAACACGTAGGGTTTTGTCAATAGACAAAGGCTTCATAGCAGGCAAATCATGATTTCTGTACCTCCACAATGACACAGATGAAAGAGCTCGTGAGCTCGCTGCCTTTACTAATTCTATGGTAAAAGCTGTAGTTTTCTTCAGCATTATCCCTGCGTTGGTGGCTCAGAAAGAACTAGGTGTGATTAAGAAAATACATTTGCAGAAGGAAAGATCTAAAAGAATAGATGTTACAACAGATTATTTACTCCAGCGTGTTGGAATGAAGACAATGAGCTGCACTTGTCCCAGAGCTGGGTGTTTTAGGCCCTATATCTTGGGGTAACTGAGCACCCCAGTACACAAGCACTGCCTGACTGATTTCTAGCAAAACAACCCTCCTATGTAGTTTGCTGCTTGCCAGAAAGGGGCCACTTGGGGAAAGTTTCTGTCTCTCAGCCATCTGTGGTGATCATTGCCAGATAGAGAAAGTCCTGTTAGGATGCCATTGATGTGCATCTGTTGACGTGCCTGGTACGTTCAGGGCTGGTGTGTGCAGCTGGCTCTGCTGACAGCACACACTCCTCCCTCCAGCCCTGGCTCAGCACACAGCACACAGAAAGGTTTGGTCACTGCAATCAATTCCCGTGGTCAGTAGCAAAGAGCAGGGTGGATAATTCCATGGAAAGGGAAGACTTACAGGAAAACACAGTCTGTATTGACAAGGCCTGAGGTCAAGGCTGTGCCTTGGCTTTTGTTATTTGATTACCAGATGCTGACTGGATGCAGAAAGTGACCCCAGCCTAAAAGGAACTGCAAACTTAAGTTTTTTCTCTCCCCTTTGCCACTCATGCATGTTCTTACAAAATCCCTTTCAGGGGTGTGTCCAGGAGCTGGATGTGGTACAGCTGAGGCCACCACTGGGAAAACAAAAGGTGCTGTTAGCCATTCTGTTCCCCCTGGATTTCTGCCTCTGGAAGGGAAATGTTTTGCATCTGTGCACAGGCTGGGCCACTGGGCAGAGGACCTGTCTCCCAGAGAGCTGCAGGAGCCCCCCAGATGACCCAAGTCACAGGGGTTTCCTGTTTCTCTTCTCTTCAGAGGAGTGGTGAATGGTTTGGAGGTCCAGAGAGCCTATACTCCAATTAGCCCCAGGAATGCAGAGGGTTACTTTGAAGTTCTAATTAAAGTAAGTAAGCCTGGACAATATGGATGAGAGTACAAGGTGTTTTCTTTAGGAACCAAGCATGCTGTCAGTGTTTTAAGTGAGACTCTCTCAAATTCCTCATGGACTGTTTCTCTGTTGTTTTGAAGGATTTTTGCTTTGCTGATAAAAATTGCCATTTTCCCCACAAAACTGAATGCAGAATGAGCTGACACACAAACAAGTGCTTTGCAGCAGAAGCCCTGGGATCACCTGGGAGAGCCCCTGAGATGGAAAGATCTGTCCATTCTACTTCTCTCCTTTCATTTTGCTTTTTCAGGCTGTCTTTGAAATCGCACCCATTTGTCAGCCCAGCTGAACCACTGATTTTGGGAACTGTTTGCCTTTATCCTCCCCTCTGTATTTTCCTTGAAGAACACCCCTCTGTCAGTGGGCAGCTGCCCCTGGTGTGCAGAGAGGGCTCTGGAGCTGCAGTCTGAGAGGGACTTTGTGGCCCACAGGGGACACAGGTGTCCCATAGGCACAGGCTGCATCTGTTGAGGTGGACATGGTGGCAAAGCCCATTTTGGACAAGTGTCCTCACCTTTATGGAGTCAACCACAAAATGCTGGTTGAGTTCAAAAGGATTTTATAGGAGATTTGGCTACAAGTCTCTCATGTAAGTCTTCAGGGTGCTCATAAATGATTATTTTGTGTGGCAAATACTGACTTGAACATTTTTCCAATACTGCATCCATATGTCACTAGGGACTCCTCAGGGCAGACCCAGACTTCAGTACAGGTGTGAAATTCAGAGTGCTGGGTATCCCAGGTGGCTTGCAGAGAAGGGCCACTTGTTCTCTGCCTGTCTTCCAGGATTTCATGTTTCTGGGGTTTATTATGCATTGTATGTTCTAACACAAACCCTGCTCTTTAGAAAAGTGAACAGCTTCTCTAGGACACCTGTGGGAGGGTCATTTCTCCATTCTTGTGGCAATTGGTGTGTGGTAGGGGAGAGAAACGTTGCATTTGAGTTGCATTAATAGGATACATTCACAGGATGACTGAAATTTCATGTATAGCAGCTCATTACTCACAGGTTTTGCATTTCAATAATAATAGTAATGATTGTAATGATACCTTTCCTTTATATAGAACCTTTCATCCCAAAAGGAGCTATAGTTATTCTTTGGCAGTGACAAAAGAGGTTGGTAACACCCAGTGTAAAGCAGCCATTTTTATAACTCACTCTGTAGGTTGTGGTATATTTCACACTATTGAGGCAATTTTGGAAAGTAGTATATTATTATTACTATGCAATCCAAGCACTGTTCAAACCCTTCTGTCTCCTGTTATTATGGCATTGCATTTGTGATACTACAGTTAAGAGTGAGGGAGTTGCCATTTACAGAGCATAACCCTCTTTTGGAGTGATTTTATAATGTTAGGGTTTCTCTCCATGTAAAATGGGGTGTGGAAGTTTTTCCCCCAGGAGATTTTTTTTTTTTCCTTTTTATTTAGAAAAACTCATTTTAAACCCACTCAATCACTTTTCACTTCAATTTTTTTTTTTTAATAATTTTGGTGAAAGAAGGATTGTTTTAGTTTCCATTACCCCTGTCCTTCGGGAATAGGCAGTAAGTGAACTTTTCTGTTCTTGCCTTGGGTTTCTGGATGTGTTTGAAGAAAGGAGGTATAAAATTTGCTTCTCTGAAGCAAGTGCACACTCTTTGCATGAGACTTAGCACCTGCCCAGAGCCCTCTGAATATAAAAGAATTCTGACAATAGCTCAGAGCCTGGACATGAGTGTGATTTACCTTTTGAATGTAACAACTGGTGCTAATACTTCTTAATATTTCAGGTTTAAGTGAGAGGCTGGGAGGGGAGGAGCATCTGTGTCCTTTCTTAGCTAACACTGCTTGCAAGCACAAGCACGGGCTCCCTCACTAGCTTTTTCTGAGCTGCTCTGTGGTTCACCAATTTTGTTTGCCTGCAGTGCAGCTTGGTGGCCAGCCAAGGCACTGGGGTGTGGAGCCGGGCTTCTCTCCAATGCCTGTGCAGGAAATACCCCCAAATACACTTCTTTTGTGTGGGCTTGTATCACATCCCATCTTCTGACCCCTGGTCCTGTTGCTCTTCCCCAGGCTTATCCTTGTGAGACCCATTGTGTGCTGCAGCTTTGGGCTTTTCAGCTCTTGCTGCTTGGGCCAGTCCTGGTTCTCCAGCCACATGCCAGACTGTGGCTGCTCTTTTGCTCACATTTCTCTCTTTAAACATCCAGTGGTCACACATTTAGGGCATGGATGGCAACATGACTGCTTGGACAAGCCCTTCATTTTCCAGCTTCTCATCCCTTCTCAGTTTCCAGCAAGCACTGAGCCCTTCTCCTCAGTCATGAGTGAGAGCAGCATTCCTGCAGGCAACAGCCTGGATAATGTTGTTTGTGCCTGGTGGAAAGTGAGGCAGGTTTTTTGCTCGTGTTTTTCTTCCATGGGGCCAACATTAATATATTCTTTTGGAACTGTGGAGGCATCCCTCAGCATCCAGATGATCTGGTCTGAAAACAAAGAGTTTTACAAATGAGAAGCCTGACTTTGGGTCACTAATTGTATCAGTGCAGCATCTGAGAGACTGAAACAAAGCAAGAGCTATGCAATGTTTATATAACTAACAGTACCCAGAGGGCATTTCCAGACCCCCATACCCTGAGATTTGGAGAACACTTGAAGGCCTGCACTGTGCTTTGCATTCAAGACACTCTTCTCTGTGTGCTTTGTAAGCAAGAACTCTGATAAGCTTTTTCCAGTTTTGGAAATTCAGGCTGCATGAGAGGGGGGTTGTGTTTACATTATAGTCAAGCTGGAGTGGTTCCAATATGATTTAATTTAAATGTCTTTGTTTTGGGTATAACTTTGAGTTATTTTTCAAACAGATCATTCTTTCTTTTTTAAATACACGAAATGGTTTTTTGTCCCCTTTTCGTTTAAATGTAGATAACTTTATAATCGACTTGAAGCTGGGAAACTTTCCAATGGAGTATAATTATTCTTTTCTTTTGTGCAATGTTTTTTATTAGTGTTATGAAGCTGGGCTAATGTCACAATACATAAAAACATGGAAAAGAGGAGACGTGGTCTTTTGGCGTGGGCCGTTTGGAGGGTTCCCATATCAACCTAATAAGGTTAGTTCCTAAGAGCCATAGGATGCTTCAGCCTGTGGCAGCAAGCTTTGTTCAATACTCTGAAGGGAGGACATCAATTTGATTACTGTTTTCATGATTATTTTAGAGACTTCCTGGGCTACTGTACAGTGTGACAGCATTAGCAGTCAGTTGGAGCACTATCTTGAACTGCAGAATATTTAACAGGGAAGAGGAGGTGGATGGGAGACAGGAAAATATTAGCAAGGCTCTGTGTTCATCACTTGCATTAGGAGTTCCTTATAAAGGGGACTTTCTTTGCACCAGCAATGGGTGTGGATAGGTTTTTGCCTGATTTGACCCACATCTGTGTTGTGAGTGAGTAGGGGTGAAGGGGAGGTGTTAATCCTCTCCTCTCTTGGGTATTCCCTGAGCTGTTGAGGTGTCAGGTCGCTCCCCAAACGCTGATCCCACCTGCCAATACCAGGCTGGCTGCAGGGAAAGGCAGATCTGGTTTCAGAGGGAGACTTCTCACACACGCTAATTCAGTTACTTAATTCTGACCTTTCAAATGAGGAGCAAATTTGAAACACTGGTCATTAAGATCCCAAAGTCTTTTGGGGTTTTTGTGGATTTGGTTTTGTTTGTTTGTTTGGGTTTTTTTTCCCCCAACAAAAATAACTAAAATCTGAGTGGCCAAGTTCTATGCAGAGCAATTGTGTCCTGCTTCCTGACACACTCATTCCCTCCAGAGGACATTCAGGATTTTACTTTGCAGCAACCAAGAGAAACCCAGGGAGCATTTCCAGTGGAAGAAAACACACAGTGGGTCAGCAAAGCATACTGCAGAATTGAAACTGAAACATGAATAATTGAAATCAAGGCTGAAGTTAGGATAAATTATTATAGTTGGATAAAATCCAGTTTTGTTGGATTTGATATGTAAATTCTTAAGTGCTATCTGTAATCCTTTGCAGAAAAATACATTTTGGGATCTGAATTTACCAGTTCATGACCTTCTGGTATGTTATTTCTCAAGAGATCCTTTACCAGGGTGGCAACAGGAGGAACTGACCATGAGCACACCCATTTCCAGCCACCACAGCTCATTGCAAATTCTCTGTTTTGTTGTTAGCATGGAGAACTCCTCATGCTGGCCTCTGGCACCGGCCTTGCACCAATGATTCCCATCCTCCAGTCCATAACAGATGATGAAGAGGATGAAACCTTTGTAACTCTTGTTGGCTGCTTCCCTACCTTTGACAAAATTTATTTAAAACCTCTTCTGCAGGATTTGGCTCGGTACTGGAATATTAGAATATTTTATGTCCTAAGCCAGGTAATTAAATGGATATGAAATGTGTTTGTGTGAGGGTTCTGTGTGCTGGATGAGCCTCTGCCTCCTCCATTTTTCTATAAGCAATTCATGAGCTTAATTCTTTCCCAATCATCCAGCCTAATTTATGATCCAGTAGCTGCTGTTCTTAAATCTGCTACATATACTGACACTGCTACTGGTCTGGAGAATTTTGGGGAAGTGGCCATCACTGTTCCTCTCTGCCTCCCTGTTCTGTTGGGATGGAGCTGCTCTTCCATAGTCACTGTTGGTTACTCCCATCCATTTGTAGTTGTTGCACCTAAACAGCAAATAAGCTTGTTTCTTCCTAATACCAGTGCCTTAATCTGTCCTTATCTTCCATTCTTCACTCGTGGCTAGAGCTCTCCTCTGGTCTGCTAGCACCAACTTCCCAGCAATTATTTTTCCTTGCTGACCCATTTTTAAACTTCTAAAAGTTGTCTCCCCCTCTGTAAAATTACTTTTCTGCCACATTCATGGGATGAGGGCATACCTCTCAATGGTCTTACATTTTGAGCAGTCTTTTTTATTTCCATTTGGTCCCAAAGTTGCCTGTGTTCTGCACGGATTTGGTGGTTAAAAATTATTTCCGTCAGAAATGAGGATTCATTGCTGGGAGGATATAGAAAGAATTATTTATGCTAAGGGAATGAATCCCATTGCATTTTTAGTTCCTCAGATGAATCATTTCTTGTATCTCTCACAGTGGAACTGCCTCATACATTCTGTTCCACACGTGGCCTCGGCAGGATGAGATTTGGTAGAGGGAAAAGTGCTGGTGACTTGGGTACCCCCTCAGCTGCTCTGTGGGAGCATAACCATAATTGTCTGTGGTGACATGGCTTAAATACCCTTTTCAGGGTGTTTAAACTCTTTGACTGCTGTCTCAAGAGCATGAGGAGGTCTTGAAATTCAATCAGCAAAGGGCACGAAACCCACCTGACCCCTGTCAACACTGTCTGCCCCTCCTCTCTCCCTTTTTCCTCCTCTCTTAGCAGGTTTGTGGTAGTCCAAGGCTGGCTCGTGCATCCTCCCTCTTGGGATTATGTATCTGTCTGTATTTCATTGTGCTGCCTGTCACCACCACATCTGAGCACCTTCTGCTCCTGATTAATTGCAGCAGGGGAGTCCCTGCTGGATCCAGCACCACAGGAGCTGACACTTCTCATGGGATCAGAGCTGGCTTTGGAGCAGAGCTGCCTTCTTTCAGTTTTGGTCAAGGGAGATGGTACTGAAAGAGACTTGGGAATGGGAGAGGCAATGGAGAGGAATAGACTGGGGATTTGGGAATAGGAAACCTGGGAGATGGTTCTCAATGGATAAAGTTCTGCAGCATTTACTTGTGATAGTTACACTCTGGTTTTGTTCAGTCCCCTCTGAGTGAGTGGCAGGGAAATATTTCATCTGGGCTTGGGAAGAGAAATGCAGCTCTCAGGAAGGGTCACTGTCATCCACATGGTGTCACAAAGGTGAAAATCATCCTGTGCACCACTCTGAGGGGAGGAGGCAGATTCAGCTCTAAGGAATGTTGTCCTTTTTAATATCACACACAGCAAAACCTTCTACCTTTCCAGGAAACTTCGCTGGAAAAACTTCCTTGGAGCTACCAGGAAAACACGTACACTGCTCGTCTCAATGAGGACTTGATGAAGACAATAGTAAATTCCTGTCGAAGAAAGCCATTTGTATTAATTTGTGGCTCTTCTGCATTCAATGAAGATATGAGTAGATACTTGAAAGCTGCAGGAATTGAAGAAAATTCCTGTTTTGTCTTTTAGCAGTACATTCCTGAGGAACCTTGGGCTGAGCCTTGGATGTCCTTGTTTCTTTGCAGACATTGCACAAAAGGGCCTGCTCAGAAGACTGAGCTCCTTGGAGCAGCTGTTTGTTGATCCTCACTCTGGGGTGTTTTAAGGAATGGGTGCCATTCCAGAGTGGCTGGTACATGCTGTGCTACCCACACCTCAGGAACCTGCATGGCAATTTTAATGGAAGTCTTCAAGTGCAATTTTGAGAGAGAGATCTCCTAAGGGGGTACTAGAAAGCATCCATGCACACAGCTCTGCTGTGACGTGAGGATTGGTGACTTGCTTTGCAATCTGTGTTACTCTGCAGTGGTGTTGTGCCCTGTTGGGTGTCCAGAGGAGAGATATAATCCTCAGGGATCCTTGCCAGGCCAAGGGGACAGCAGAGTCAGGATCACTTTGGTTCTGTCATGTGCAGGCTGATGTCAGGCAAGTCCCTTCAGCCTCACTGTGCCTCAGTTGCCCCATTGTACATTAATACAGAAAAGGTGGCACTGATCTCTGAAAACTATATATGGAAAAAGTTTCCATAAGGATGGAGTGATACATTCTGTCTAGTGAGAGCCTAGGCAGGCTGAGCTCCTGTCCTGGCACAGCCTGTGTTACCTACCCTGTGATTAGCCCTAGAAATGCTACCTGGGGACACAAAAAGCATGTCCTAAATCTGGGAGAGCGTGGCTGGGTGGTGGCTGCTGTCTGTCAGGAAGGATGGTTGTTTGCTTTCCATGTTCCCTAAGTGTTGCATCATAACCCTGGCTCATTAAATTGAACCTCTTTACAAATAGACAGCTGTTTGACATTGTCACAGGACTCTCTCAGGTGCCTGAGGAGGTTCCCTAAGCATACAGGAACACCACCTGAGGAGGGAAAGCTGCATGGGATCTGCTGGGGTGCTTCCCTGTGGGACAGGGAGCTCCCTCAGGGATGGCAGCCTGACACAGCAGCCAGCCTGGACACCTGGGCATCTTCCTCTTTTTTCAGTCCAAAATGCTGCTGCTTTTCCTCTGAGCTATGTGCTATCCACTCTTCTACCTTTTCAGAATGGTGTGTTTAGTATCTACACCTGGAAGTACAGCAGTCCTGCATACTTTGTGTTTTTCTGTTCATTCCCAGTTCACCCTGTGTTGGGGTTTCCCAGGCTGTCTCAGATGATTATTGCATTATCATTCATGCTTCTTTTGTACCTGTGTCTAACACTACACCTTGCACAAAGGAAATGTAGTTTGTTACACAAAAAACACAGCGTGCACTGAAGTGGGGGCTTGATTCACACATTTGGGAGGGAGTGTAAGTTCCCTTTGCACTGCTGAGATTTGTCTCCAGTTACCAAATGCCTGGAATTAATCAAGTGTAGCTGCAGCTTTCATGTTAACTTCCTTGGAGAAAGGGCTGACAAGAAAGCCATTTTCCTAACCCAGAACTGGTGTTCTGGCTTTAAAGGCATGGAGATCAGGGAAGTTGTCCATGGTCAGTCCAAGGCAAGCTCTCATCTCCAATCCATACTGTGCTTCAGCCTCCCTGAGTCACTGTGTGGTGAAGATGCTTTGTACACAGGCCGATAAAATAATGAGATGCTTTCTCCAGTTGTTCTCCCTGCTCTGGCCTTAGCTAGGAATATGGACAAAATCTTCTTTGTCAGATATTAAGTATTTGAAAACCTTGCTTTTAGTCCCCTAGCTTAAATTATTATGCCTTCTTGAGATTTTGCTAAAACCACACCCCACCTTTTTGCAAAAGGCCCAAGGTAAAAAACTTCACGCTCGCCTTGGAAAAGCGCCGGCTTTCAGCGTGAAAGCTGGGACTGTTCCTTTAAACACAACCCCAATATGTCTGGGTATTTCAGCACATATGGGCCACGATGCTTAAACCCTACCCAGCTGGTCCGGCCGTTCTGCCGCGCAGCTCCGTCTTTGTTCGTGGCTCAAAGGGAGGGTGGTGAGAGACGGAGCAAGCTGTGAGTGCTGCGGGTTGCCATCCTGCAAGGGCGGGCTGCGGCCGAGCGGGAGGAGCGGGGCATGTCCCGCCCGAGGGGACAGGGGCTTTGCGAGACATTCTCCATGGGGGAGATGATGTCCTTGGAAGCAGGAACTCGAAGGAGCCTTTAAACCGCCCGCAGGCACTTTGTTCTCTATTTTCTGCCCTTCTCTCCCTTCCCCCTCCCGCCTTTTGTTGTTTCTCAGGCTGGCTCTAACACGAGTCCCCTCATCCCAACCATCCCCCATGGGGACAGCCCCTTTCAGAGGATGGACTGGAAAGGCTCTGGTGCAGAATATTCCTTGCTAGGGAAAGATGAGAGGTTTCCTTCACTCTGGAGGCCCAGCACCACCCCTTGGTGCCAGTTTAATGGGGAATTGGTGTCGGTGCTGTTGGTGACTGGGGCATCTCTGGAGCTGGGGGTGTGTGAGCTCGGGTGGGTGGCCAATGCCCAGCCAGGGCCGGGGCTCACATCCTGCCTCTCCTGCCAGGCAGGGGGGTGCAGGTGGGATGCTCCTGATCTCTGGCTGCCCCCAGGAAGCCCCTGCCACCCGTGCAGCACTGTGCAGGGCAGAGGGGCTTTGCTTTGCTCCCTTTTTTCTTCCTCATGTGCAGCCTAAATACCTTCTTAATTTCATCTCATTATTTCCTGCCTAAATAATTCTCGTTTCTCCTGGGGACCGTTTTTAAACCTTTGATCTTCTCTGAAGTCTCACAGTCCTGATCACGTCCTTTCTGTTTAAATGAATCAAATGCCTTTTTGACTCATGATTTATAAATTTGCCCACAGAGGAACAGAGGCACACCTTGAAATCACCCACCGTGCCTGTGGCTGGAGCAGAAGTACCCTGGGCTGATCCAGAGCACCTTCCAGCCAGACCTCCGTGCCTGGCTCCCCTGCTGCATGTCACTCTCCCCTGCCTCCCTCCACCCTCCCACCCGACTCTTCAGCTGACAGCCGGGTTGCCTGGGCTCAGGCCCAGCCTGGAATGGCCATCCCCGGGTCAGGAGAAGGGTGAATGTGCCGGTGGTTGATGGATGCTGTCCCCTGGGAGCGGGGCACAGCTGCGGTGCTGCACGGCCCGGCCCCCATCTCCCGGGGATTGCTGATGCAGAGCACAGCTAAGGGCAGGGAGAGGAGCAGCTGTGCAGGGGTCCTGGGCACTGGCTTGGTGCTGAGGCTGTGGTGGAAAGGCTGGAAGACAGTGGGTGTTGGCCAGGATGGATGTGATGAGGATAAACATGTTGCTCCATAGTGCAGTGATGCAGAAGCCGGGGAGCACTTTGTTCCTGAGCCCAGGGGATGGTGGCTGGGGGGGCTGGGCATTCCTCCTGGATGAACCAGGGTTGTGGCAATGGAAAATAGCCAGGAGAGGCCCCTGTGCCATGGCCAGACCTCGCCTGCATCTTTGCTGTGTGGGCCCACACTTGTTGACAAGGACAGACCTCCTCTCCAAGCCATTAGGGAAGCAGCTAATTAAGCTCTGTAATGTTCCTGGGAGGTCAGCAGGAGTTGTGCCAGCACTGCAGCATCTCCCAGAGCCTGCACTGGGGCAGGATCTTCCCACAGTGCCCAGGGACAGGGGGAGCTGCCCTGCTCCTCCTCATTCCATTGTGCTCTTCGTCCTGGTGCTGGTGGGGTGACTCATGCTCAATGCCCAGGGCAGAACCCAACATTCCCTGCCTCAGCTGGGCTCAGGATAGAGGGCTCCTGGCTGGGATGTCCCAGAGCTCCCAGCAGCCCTCGGCATGGCTCCAGCAAGGCTGGGCAGAGGGGAGAGAGCCTGTACAAATATTATTGTTGTTGTTATTCCCCATAAATATATGCAGGCACTTAACGACCTTGGCATGGAGCATTTCCTGGGGATTCATGACCAGTGGGTGTTAATGGTCTTTAGCTGCACCTCAGGCCATCAGCTCCTCCCAGCCCATCATTAATCCACAGGAAATGTCTCGGGCATCGATCCTCATTGCTTAATTAATAAATGCAACTTGTCTCCTGCCTGAGATTTAGAGATACTCACTGCTTCTCTCCCTGCTGCTTTGAAGGTGACTTTTTTAGCACAGGTCCCTCACGCTGGGAGGCCCTCGTGGGATTTTGTTTCCTGGCATTCATGTGGGTGTGGGCTGTGGCAGCAGGAAAGTCTGTTCTCTCCTGGGCGGGAGGGAAGGAACTGAGCTGCTGTTGGGTTTGGGGTTTCTCCAGCTAATGTGGCACAGCACAAGGAGCACATCTTTCCCACCAAACCCAAAGGCTTGCTTACCTTCAGCTGAGTGCATCCAAGAGCCTGGGCGAGAAGTGAGCCAGCATGGAAGAACGTGGCAATTCTCCAAGGCCTTAGCAGGTTCTATAATAATCGATGTTTTTTGCCCATGAGTCACAATTCATCTCTAATCTTCCTCGGGGGAGGTGGGATTTGCTATCTTTAGTGCTCACGACTGCTGCTTTCCCGGGCTGAGCATCCCGCTGAGCCTGGACTCCTGCTGCAGGGATGCTGACCTGGCAGCCAGCTGCCTTTCCATCCTGCTCCCTGTTTCTGTAGCCCTCACCACCAGCTGGCTTTGTGCAGTGGGTGCCGCAGTATAAATCATGTTAATTCCTGAGATGCTTTTCCGCGGTAAGTCTGAAATTCCCATTTTGGTTCGCTGGCTTGCCTGGCGAACTAAATTATTTTCATAGCCCCTTAAGGGCATATTGTCAGCCCAGACTTATTGCCGTTATACACCATTTCTGAAACATTAATATCTCTTCTAAATATAGTGTATTGACAAGGTATCTGGTATAGTGTAAATCCTTGGGACATTTGATCCAGATCATTAAAACTGAGTGAAGGAAGGGAGGAATAGATCAAGTTACCTTGCTGCTCTTAATTCAAACAAGCGATGAATTATTCATTCCGCTATTAATTCTGCAGTCCTCCTGCTTTTTATTTATTTCTCTCTTTATTTGTTTTTTTTCTTCCCAGATAGACAGCTCCAAAAGGATGCTCGGGCACTGGTGAGGGAGATTTGCCTGCTGGAGGATGGGGTGCACAGGGCTGGGCTGTCTGGCAGCACTGGCCATGCTCTGCAGGGCTCTCGGGGATGCTCCCAGCAGAGGTAAGAGCCTGGTCCCAGCTCCTGGTGGGCTGGATGGGCACCCATGGTTCCTGAGGAAGGGAGGGCCATCTGCAGCGCCACAGAGGCTCTGGGGTGCGAGTGGGATCCAGCTCTCCTGCAGGGAGAGGGGCTGGCTCAGGCCAGGGGAAAGGAGCTGGGATCTGGAGTCACTGTTGTGGTGGCAGCAAGTGTGGGACACTGCTCCGTGCTTGGGTTTCTGCTTCATGTTTACCTTACTGAGGATTGCAGGTAGGGGTTGTCCTGTTGTGGTGTAGAG